CGTGCCGCCCTGACTTGCACCAACGCACCCTTAACAAACGCCTCGCACCCCCGAACGCGAACGACATCCCAGAATCCCTAGCCAGGGAAACAGGTAGAATGGACCCGTAGACAAAATTCGAGTTTCAAGAATTCTCATGTTTCAAAACCAAAATTCCATACAGAACACGATTCGCTCAACAAACATTGCTAAAATGGGGCACTAAACCTTGTATTTTTTATTAAATATTCAGAAAGTACCCTGCAAGCTGTTAACGTGGTGATTTATTGCGTATTTTTCGAGCCAAAATCCCGGACAAGCCCGCTTTTAAAAATGCCAATAACTCGAAGGAATTTCAGAAATTTTCGTCGCTCAAATCGTGTTCTACGTGAAATTTTGGCTAAGAAACATATGTATTGTATATCAGAAAGTTTAAATTCGTACCTTAACTATTGGTCTATTGGAAACCAAAGAAATGCCTTCAATTAGCCGGCTATGCAAAATGACTGTCGTGACGAACGTATAGTGGTATCACAATTTCGTATTAAGATTACACAGTGAGTTGAAGGCGCTCCTCTTTAACGTATCTTTTTGGCCCTATTCTGCGGTAGAGAAACATGGGAACCTCGATTTCGATCCTTCGCTTAGCCGCTGCACGTCACTAACACTTTAAAACCATACGGCGAGGAAGGAACAATGCTCGATTAGGAAGCCTGCCAAAACCGTTGTGTTGCGCGATTTGATTCAAATAGACGATTGTCTTTCTTTTCAACGAAGAATTCTAATTCTTGCAACCAATAAATACTAAAAATGTTAATTTCTTAGTTAAGGGTTGCTTTCAGTACTTTTCGTCACGCGAATCGTGTTCTCTGTGTTATTTTGGTTAAGAAACTTGTATCAGAATTCTTAAAGTCGTTCCTCATCTACCGGACCATTGGAAACCAAAGAATTGCCTTCAATTAGCCGGCTATGCAAAATGACTGTCGTGACGCACGTATAGTGGTATCACAATTCCGTATTGAGATTACACAGTGTATTGAAGGCGCTCCTCTTGATCCTATCTTTTTGGCCCCGTTCTGCGGTAGGGAAACGTGGGAACCTTGATTTCGAAGCTTCGCTTATTGTTATCTGTGCGGTAGCACTTTACATCCATAATGCGGGTTAGACATATTGCTCGATTTAGAATCAAGTCTGCCAAAACCTTGTGCGATTTGATTTATGTAGGCCTCCTTGTGATGGGGAATTAAATATTTTTGTGATCAATTCAAACTAAAAAAGTTAATATCTTAGGAGTTAATTTCAGTATAACTTTTGTTGTGCGAATAGAATCGTATTCTATGTAAAATTCTGGTGAAAGAACCCGAATCAGAATGCTTAAGCATACAGATTCGTGCTTTGTCTACTGGTCCTTCACAGTGCGACCAGCTGAAGAACCTAAGTATGGAGAGAAAAAGGCATCTTGCAACTTCTACCAGCGTAGAATTAGTAGATGTTTCTTTCCTTGCAGAACTCCATCCAATCCAGCAAAATTGAAGGTTAAATTTAGGTGGATGATATTTTCGAATATTATCGCACACCGTATATTCGTTCAATCAAAGCATGGGCGAGGTGAATGTTTTTTAGAGTTTGAATGGGTAACTATTCGCGCTTTTGGGTAGGTTTTTTGACTATATAGCGAAATTGTATAACACATCGTGTATTGGTTCAATCTAAGCGTGGAGGGGAAGAAAGCCTTTATTCTTTGGATTCGCGCTCCCGAGTGGGTTTGTTGCCTATTCAGTGAAATCGAAGGATAACTTCAGTTCATGGTGTCCAGAACGGGAAAAACTGAAATTCATCAGGGAATGAAAATTTACAGGGAAAATCAAGAAATTTGTTCCAAAAACCGAATCTCTACTTCTCGATTCTCTCTTCTTCTACCGCTTAGGGATCATTTCGTTTTCAAAGTTGGCGGTCTAATCTGACCGAGCGCTATTATTGACCTCTTGAATTACACATTTGAAACTTCAAATCGTCAAGAGAATGGAGATGCTTTCATTGACCAGATAATATAAACATCAGAAACGCTATCGGAATTAAAATTTTGAATGTGCGTCAAACAAATGGCTGAAAGATTAATTAAAGTCGATATTCGTATAGCTCTGAAGACTTATATTCCTTTCTCAGAAAATCTTGGGGAAGTGGGAGAAAACTTCGGTTTCTCATCAGGGAATGAGCTCCTGAAAATCAGGGAAATATCAGGTACAAAGCTTGGTCAAAAATTCCAGACACCATGCTTTACTTGGACTATATTTATCACACATCGTGTATTGTTTCAATCTGAGTATGTATGAAATAAATATTTTCTAATTGAAACATTTCTATGTAGTCCTAACCACCCTCCTAACCACCTTCAATCCGACCCTGGTCTCGAGGAACTTAGAAGTAGGTAAAAAAAAAATTATATTTACAGGAAGATCTTCCAACGTAGTTTCGCCCCTTCCCTCGAGCCTCACGCTTCACGAGTGTTGAAACAAGGCTCATAATCTCGTTGTTTTAATTAGTCGCCATCAGTGTTGCCATGTTGATCCGAATTTAACTTCGCACGAAAGGAAAGATTCCTTTCGGGATTTGTTCGACAAATCTGCGCATTACGGTCCCTCTCTTGTTTTTATCTGCGTAAAACGACATTCGCAATGTGAGATTATTATTCGCGTGTTTTCATTATGCTCTGCGTAATGGCCTACGCGACAGACTTTGTCGAAACTCACAAAGGAACGTTTAAATTCGCAGACAAACCTTGGGCCTGAGGGTTTACAAGGGAAGTTGATTAGACGCAAGCTCTGTCATTTCACCGAAGAGAGCAGCAGTAACTGTACAGATAAAGTTTTAAGGAACGGTATTCACCCCAGTAGCATTGGCTGTTTCAAACAATTTCAAATGCTATAGTTTTGAAAGATAACACTAAATGCAAAAAAAACCTGTTAAAAAGCCGAGTTACACTGGAAAAAAAAACCACATTGGATCTAGAGTCCAGACTCCTAAAAACATCGATAAGAAAAAGTACTCTTGATTCAGTCAGAATCTGGCTTAAATCAAGAACCAAGCCTCTTAATTTAAGCGGTTTTCGTTTTGATTTAGGCAAAAATCCGATTGAATCAAGAGTATTTTTTCTTGTCAATGTTTTCAAGAGTCTGGACTCTAGATCCAATGTGTTTTTTTTCCAGTGTAGAAAACTCTTTTTGGTTTTTTACGTGAAAATGCCACTTTGCTTTTTAAAAATGTTTTGCCACTTTTTATCTGAATTTTTTAACAGCTTTACTACGAAAAACTTTAGTTTTTTACGTTGCATATTTTGCGTTTAATTTTTTGCTCAGCATCAATATGAGTTTTTAGACTCCAACAAAATTTTGATGCGGATTTTTTTCTTAACTTTTTTTACGCGAACTGTTTTTTGAAAAAAGAACAAAAACTGTTTCCTAACTCGTCATTACAAAACTTTAATTACGCTTTTACAATGTTCAAAAATATTCAATGCTACTAGGGTAGTTGTTCGTGCGAGTAGAAATTGTTATCGAATAACCAGTCTTACAGCTTACGTGTAACTTTCAATCTTAGTCTGAAAGACTGACCAAAAGTGTTCGGTTGATTATGAACTAAAAAATTGCACCGTTAACTATAAAAAAGGGACATTTTCGTTTCTTGTATGGCACTTCAGCTGTGTTTGCCATCTTCTGCATGCTTGTGTACTTACGTCCTCAATTCATCCCTAATGAACTCATTTTAAGTTTAGAAGTTGGCAGAAAGAGATACATGCGGAAGACATCAGGGATTACTGCTCTCTTACGAGGAACTGCGGACTTCCCAAGTAGCACAGATTGCAATAAATTGCAATTTCCTGGCAAAACTATTGCTATTCTATGGAGTGTTGTGTACGTTACCTATCTACTGATCGAAGTAACACTTCTTATTGAAATGTATTGCATAGCAATCAAATTAAAATAAGTTGCAATTTTTTATTGCATTGCATATTGCCTATTTTTTTTGACACACATCCCAAGTAGCATAGATTGCAATAAGTAGCAATTACATAGTAAAAATTTTGCAATTCAACTGACTGTTGTGTATGTCGCCGAGCTCCTATTTGAAGAGGCCCCATTTATTGAGGCGTATTGCAATCAAATTGAAATAAGTTGCAATTTTTCATTGCATTGCAAATTGCCTTTCTTTCTGAAACATGGAGCTCACTTTGTTGATTGTTCTAAATCACCATTAATCGACTAAATAATGTAAAAATATCGCAATTTAATGGTAAAAAAAATTCCATTTTATTGAAATCAAATTGAAATTAATTTCAATATTTTCATTGCATTGTGCTACTTGGGTGAAGCTCATTCTAATGATTGTTTAAGGTGATTCGATGGACGCCATATTTTGTGTCAGAACGGCATGCGATACATCGCATCAATTGGTTCCATTTTTCAGCCACTCGTCATTTTTCTCCGATTTTGAGATCGCAACTCTGTTGTCAGGAGACTAATGCACTCACTTACCAATTTTAACAAAAAAATTCAATGTAATAAAGGCGTGGTTTTTTTAGAGAAAAAGTATCGCATTCGAGTGCAGTTTCGATATCAGTATCGAATGCGATGTTTTCGCTCTGAAAGAACCACGCCTTTATTACGTTGAATTTCTTTGTTAAAATTGGTAAGTGAGTGCTTTAGTCTCCTGACAACAGAATTGCGATCTGAAAATTCGAGAAAAATGACGAGTAGCTAAAAAAATGGAACCAATTGATGCGATATATCGCATGCCGTTCTGACACAAAATATGGCGTCCATCAAATCACCTTAAAATCGGCAATTATTTATCAAATTATTCAAAATTAATTAAATTTAATGGTGATAAACTGCAATTTTAGCCCTGTAAATCGCAACTTTTCTTTTTAAATGTTTGTTGCTCTGTGCTACTTGGGCTACTGTTTTGTCGGAGTTGGTGTCAATTTCGCCTTTCTAAATTGTTGTTCCTTTGGGATGTTGCAGGATAAACAGGAAAAGGAGGAAGAGGAAAGGAAGCGGCGGATACAACTGTACGTGTTCATCTCGAGATGCATCGCTTACCCTTTCAACTCCAAACAACCGACCGACATGACGCGGAGGCCGACGAAAATCACCAAACAGCAACTGGAAGCAATACAAGGCCGATTTCAGGTTCGTTTCCCCCGATCCATAGAGAAAAAAAAGGAGGTGTTTGCATCTTGAGGTTTGCTTACCCTGTGACGTAGGTCGGTACAACCTGGCCAGCGAAATCCGGAATTCGAAATATGAAAAACGGACCATAATGTCCGATTTTTTTACTTAAATCAACTCATTAGATAATTTCAAGCACTTTTTATAGAATGACTTTTTTCCTTAAATTATACACCATTTCCAAGCAAATCGACAGGATAAACGTTGCTGTACCGACCTACGTCATCAAATCATCAAAAAATTCCAAGATGCCCGAAATGCAAACACCTCCTTTTTTTTCTCTATGCCCCTGATCCATCAGCTTTTAATGGAAACATCCCTTTAAAAGTGGTTCTATTGTTTTTTTTTTTGTAAAATTTTCTTCAAAAACTTTTCTCACACTTGGTTCACATCAAAATTCACAGTTTTAGTAAAGAGTTAAATGTCCGACTTCTTCCAATCGTTCGTTCCTCTGTGTGGCAACGTTTATCCCACGCGTCGCACGTGGGAGAAAAGAGCGACAATTCAAATTTCGCGGGCGGGTTTTCAAAAGGCGCGGGTGAAAAAGAGCGGGAATACATTAAGTACAGTAATTCATTTCACAAACTCAAAATGTCCCTAGGAATCTCATCCTTCCTCCGTCCAAATTTCAGTATTTTTCTCGATAATTTTAACTGAATAAAAAATAACTCGACGAAAATTCGTAAAATTCACATTGACCAATGAATATATTCGACCTTACCCCGTGTTGAATCCGTAACAAATGAACTTGCCACAATGCGCAAGGCATTCTAGTTAAAATCTCTGTTGTTGGTGAACTTGTCTCTAGTATTTTTCGAGGTTATATTTTTATTTACAAATAAAATAAACCAAATAAACCCATGTGTCGTTTTTATCATTACAAGTTTCAAGCTATTCTTTTCCATCAGGGTTCAGTTTGGTGATGAAAAATAATAAAAAACTATTTTGATCATCGTGATTGTGTTGTCAGCCATCTGTGCTTCTGTATTCAATGTCACCCTTGTGCTTGTTTCTCACCTTACCAACTGGCACTCCTACTAGCTGGCTCGTTGGTTGATATCAACAAAAACCTGATATCGTAGACTTTTTATCTGCAAAGGCACCAATGTAAACTATCTCCTCCTTGAAAATGAACATTGCTCTGGTCCCACGGTTCCAACTACTTCTCGGTAATAGCAAATTACAATGATAATGCAGTCTTTAAAAAGAAGCATATCTCCCTGTTCAGTAAATTAACTCACTACAACACACCTACCATCATGACGCTGAAGGGATGGACCAGGAACTTCAAGGAGCAAGCAAGTGCCTTTGGTGAGCATCTTCAAAAAGTCTTCACACCCATTGGCAGTTCCAACAAATTGGCAACATTGTCTTTTCTCCATTTAAACCTATGGAAATGTATCGATTCTTGGAGGGGCCAGGTGCTTCGACAAGAATTGATTATTTAGCATAGCTTTAAATGGAGAAAATCCAGTGTTGCCAAATTGCTGGATTGCCTCTGTTCACACCTCTTCCATCCTCCCAAATCTATCATGAAATTGAAGACGTGTTGCACAATCCTTCCCTCCCAACACCACTGTTCTCTGTCAATCTCTTCAAACCCGACCTCGTGATCCATCGCAACAATGATTCGATGGTGTTAGTCGGCAATCACATAACTCAGTTCGCGACTCGTGTCGCAGACTTCCTGTCATACTTTATTTTTTAAACGGGAAAATACTCAATGGCAACTCTTTAAAACTGCCGTGATTTTTCTTCTTGGTGCAAAGAAAATTCTGCAAAAACTTCAAGGATTGATGTCAATTTGTTCTCCTTTAAAAAAATAACATAGAGGTGGAGATTTTCAGACACCGCAAACGAGTTATGTGATTGCTGACTTACACCGTCGGATTGCTTCTTTGAAACTTTTGCCTATGTGGACTACATTCCCTTTTCGTTGGGATGTTTCTACATGACTGTTCTCATTTTTCTAATCTTGTCTTTTTACTGATTTATTTTTTTTCTTTTTCCAGAGTTTTCTGAAAGGAGACACCCAGATAATGGCGGATGAAGCTTTTCAGAATGCTGTCAATAGTTATTATGAAGTGTTCTTACGGTCTGATAGGGTTTCAAAAATGGTTCAATCTGGTGCCTGTTCTCAACATGATTTCCGTGAAGTCTTCAGAAATAATATAGAAAAAAGGGTTCGGTAAGTATATCATGAGCTTTGAGCGCTCAGCCCGTTTTCAACGATCAAAGTTGAGCTCTCAAAGTGGCGTCCTGCGGGGTCACATGACCCTCAAAGATTGTCGGCCCGACAGTCTTTGAGGGCAATGGAGGGTCACAAGACCCCGCATGACGCTACTTCGATCGTATGATACGGGCTCTCTGCAACCATGTAGTCTTAGGTGCAAGTCATAGTCTATTGTATAGAGATGCTGAGGAAAGTTTGAGACTGTTTTTTTGGACAGTGACTTAACAGAAGAGAAGGAGCAAAAAGGTTAAAGAAAAATTGAACTGGGAAGAAATTCCTTCCCTATTACTTTTTGTGTTCCTATAAACGTAGGGTATGAAGCATTCTGGAAAATCTGGACAAGTCAGGGAATTTTAAAAAACCTGGAAGGGCCAGAGGAAAGTCATGGAATTTGGCTTAAGGTCAGGGAATTTTTTCATTTATTGAGGAGGCTGCACTTGGCAGTCCCTCTAGTCAGCTGTGAATCATTGTTACCAAGCCGGGAAAATATACCTTTAGTCTTGCACATGTCCTGCAGCACAAGATTTACATTCCTAAAAGTAGTTTAGTTTTTTTTTTCTTTTTTTCTTTTTTTTTAAAGTGAGGGAAAAGTTTGGAAAGTTTGATATTCCAGTTAATCTACCTACCACCTAATTGATTTATGAATCGTTGGAACTCCTTTCCAGGATTTTTTTTAAGTGACAGTGCAGAATGTTTTGCTCCAACCATCAGGAAATGGAACATTAATATTCATATTCATGTGAATGGTCCAGTGATACATTTTTGTGTTTCACCTACAATTTTAATGGAAATTTTTAGGTTTTTTGCTTGAATTGAGGCCGGTCAGTATTAAATTAACCCTAGTCTGCCAAACAAGTTTTTCTCACTAGTTTGCCAATCACAGACCCCCCCGGTCAGTTTAGACCCGTATTTAAAATACACAGGATCTTCTTTTTCATTGGTATTTCTTTATGCATGCACGTATTTTAAATGATGTTTTACATCAGGAAAACCTAAAATTAGACTTATAGGCCTAATATTTTTTTCCTTTCAAAGTTGAGATTAGCCAACATTCAACATAATTATGAAAGACACAAATGGCCACCGTCACGTCTGTCGTTTGGCCGTATAGCACCTGACCATTTGATCCATCGTATCAACCTCTGTTTTAGTTTTGTTGTAGCATAGGATGATCTCTGGCTTCAAATTTACCTCAGGGATGATAGCAGCATCATCATGGGTCGTTGAATTTAAAAAAAAAACCGACAATTCTCTAGGTAACGGGAGACGGGTCAAAACTGACCTGGTATTGTCATTCTCGCAGGAGTAGTGAAAAAAAAGCTCTGGCTACTCGAAATTTTTTTTTCAATGGTTTTTCTTTTGAAGTTGTAATTCAATGTTTTTGTAGTGCTATTTGTGAAGATAAATTTTTTAGGGGCAGCGGGTGAAAAATGGGCGTTCTTTTACGAAGTGGCGGGTCAAAAATGACCCATGTTTGGCAAACTAGGGTTAATGTTTTTACTTTTTAAATAATTCTCATTCCATCTAGTTTCACACGCTCTAGAGTTTCAAATGATTCTGGTCTGGCTTGAGTTAATGATTAACACTGAGACCTCTGGTCAAAGTTGAAGTGCCTGTAAAAAAAAATAAAATAAATAAATTGTGTCCCAACATCTCTAAGATTACCCCTATTGACACTTTCATTTATGTTTGGTTCCTGACAAGGGGGTTGAGTATTTCAAATAATATATTAATTTTGTCTTATTTGTTTCTAGATCCTTACCAGAAATAGATGGTCTTAGTAAAGAAACCGTTTTAGCTTCATGGATGGCTAAATTTGACTGTATATTAAAAAGTAAGAAGCCTACTGCTCTTTTAATTTTATTTCTATCAAGATGTCTCCAATTTTTCTACTTCGGATTCAGTTTTAGACACTTTATTTATCTCTACACTCTTTGGACAGAGTTAATCATTCTTGCCATGGAGGTAGTTAGTAAACCTAGTGGCTCTGGGTTAAATATTTTTGTTATTTTTTCAATGACCGTATGAAGAAATGAGGTTCAAATTAGGTGGCAAGTTTCTAAAACATTATTGAAAACTTGGGAAAGTCAGGGAATTTTGTCAAACTCTCTCTCTCTTCTGGCTGAAATAATTAATTTCCACCACACTTACACGTTCTATCGACTAAAATTAGAACTTCTGCCTGTAAATTGTCGAATTTTGAATTTTTACAATTTTAAGAGACTTCCAGCCTAAATTTTACTGTAAAAAGTTTTTTCAAGAGAAATTAACCAAAAAAATAAAAGTTAGAATGCTAAGGAAAAGTCCAAGAATTTATTTTTTGAAAACCCTGATGAGCCATAGAGATCAGGGAATTTTCTATTTCCAAGAGAGCATGTCACCCTGTAGTTTTTAAATACGATTTCCTGAAGCGTTTTTGAGTCTGCAAAGATGTGCATAGGAATGCAAAAAATGATCAAGGCTGCAAGCTCTGGCAAACTCGTTGCCTCAAGAAGTCTGTTTGCTTAACAAGAAATTTATTCGTAAAAACTTTAAAAAAAAGCAAAATGAAAGTTAAAAAAAAGACAATTGTCTATAGGTAATGAATATCTACACTTACTTATGCAAAGTTAATTTTTATGGAAGTAATATAGAAGTACCCAGGGTAAGCTGAAACCGATTAAATTAACATTTTTTCAAGCTTGCGACAAAAAATCATATCAAGAATCCAAGAATTATAAAACACTTTCCCTTTGACTTGCCAAACCTAACTTTTGTCAATGTTATGAGGGTGAATATAATTATTTCGATTTTTGAAATAGGTAAATATCTCCGTTTCATTCGTTTCATAATCAAATTTTCCCCCGAAATATTATTTTTCAAGAATTTCAAGGCAATAAGCACATAGTTGTCCTCATTTTTCTTCATAAAAAAGGGGATCAAGTGAAGATTTTGAAAGTAAGATTTTTTATTATTTTAATTTGTGATGATTTTTCCAGTTGGAGATGAAGATTCAAAGAGGCCTTCGAGGATGCAGCAAAACACCCTTAATAGTGAATTAATCCTTTCAAAGGAGCAGCTGTATGATATGTTTCAGCAAATTCTAAGTGTAAAAAAATTTGAACACCAACTACTTTTTAATGCCTTACAGGTTAGTATTTTCTCTTGCTTTACTTTCAGGGAATCTTTCACTCTCTGTAGGGCTTTTACTGCAGGGAAAGCAGGGAAACTTGAGGGAATTGAATTTGGTGTGAAATTGCACTACAGGGGAAACCCAGGAACATTGCTGTCAACTCTTGAATTCACAAGCAAAAGAGTTCAGTGAGAAGAGTAACTTTGAAAAAGAGTTTAATACTAAAAGATGCCTGATTTCTTGTTTCAATTTTAAATTGCTATCCACAGCTGATAGCGCTTGTTGATTTCTTAAATAAATCACTCAATCAATCTCCAATTTTCTATAATAGTCGTTTAGACGTCTAAGAATTGCTATTCATCTAATTACATAGAGCAGTAAAAAATTTTCTTGAAGTGACCGAAATGTATACTTTTGAGAAGTGTATCCATTTTAATAACAGTATGTGAGCCAAAGATTTTGTAGAAGCGTTTTGTGTGGTAATGAAGTCGGACAAGATTCTTACAAGCCAAAGGTAGCTTTTTTAAGAAGTCTTCAGCGCCCATAGTCTCACAAAGGTGATTAAGTTGCATTTCTAAGACGGATACGTTTTAGTGTCTAGAGTTATTTTCTGGCATTACATTGGCAGCGGCCATGTATGTATAGTGCTATAGCCTTATAGAATAACTATGTTCTGTTTCCTTACAGCCTTCTACCGTTTTATTTGGTTGTATTCTAATACCCTAGTTGAACCGCATTTAACAGAAAGGAACCAAACCATATCAGCTGTTGCCAAAATTAACTGGGCGAATTTTAATTTTACAAGAGAACGTTTGTGCTGATTCCTTTGAAAATTTTAAGGAATATGCGTCGCCCAATGCAGAAAATTCACTGAACTTTGCACAAAAATCCGAAAAGCCATTTTCATGTAAAAAATTAAATCGCTCAATTGAATTTGGCAATGCTTGATGTGGCTTGGTTCCTTTCTGCTTAGTGCGGTCCAGTTACTAGTTGTCAGGGATATGAATTTTGTCGCTGCTAGCTTTCTCTAGTATTTCAAAAATTTTACAGAAGACTTTTTAAAACCCCTGTAAATTCTTAATTTTGCCTGTCACACTCCTTGAAAATTCGATGATTTCTATTTTTAAAAGCTGCAATGAACCTTGTAAAATTGCAGCTGTCATTAGTAAAAAAAAAATCTAACCCTCTGCGCATTGCCTTTTTTCAGTTGGATTCTGCAGATGAGCAAGCTGCTGCAATACGAAGAGAACTTGACGGTCGTATGCAGAAAGTTGCAGAGATGGAAAGGGTAACAATTCTCTCATAACTTCAGCTATAGCAAACTTTTTTATCTATATTTGTATGCATGACCCTGAATTTTTTGCATCAAGGCTAGTGTTCGGACTTCACTGGGTGTCACCCCCTAAATGTGCTAAATCGTCACTATTCTGACATAAGGGAGTGTCTCTATTTCCTTATGAGCTCCGAAAAGCATACAGCTACAGAAAAGAGGGCTCACATAGAAATTGAAGTACGCCCTTGTGTCAGAGAAGCGAAGAAACATCAGACATTGGTTCCTAAAAATTCAGAGCTGTGCAAATGTGGTGTCAAAAAAAAAGCTTGTAGGGAGGGGACAGCTAAAAATTAGGTTTGATGTCCAAATCGCTACTAAAATGTTAAGGTGAAGTCAGATGGTTGGTTTGAACCAGTGGACCTCATAAAAATATCATCTTACAAGTCATTTTAAAATTAAAATCTCTCTCAATTTTCTTTTAACATCATCCTCAACTGGGGATCAATCCTCCAACCTAAGAAACTTAGTTCTTGTAAATGTGCATCTCCAATTGCATTGTCATAAGTCTCAGCTCATGTTTTATTTTTTTAAAGGAAAACAAACCAACAGTTTCTATTGAAATGTTCCGTCAATTTTCTTTTCTCACTCTACAAGAATCACACACAATTGTAATGAAAAATTTTGATTGGATTTCCATCATTAAAATTAAACATAATTGGAGATTTATAAACATTGCAATCGAGGTATGCATTTTCGCATTAAGTCATTGATATTTGAACGGATTTTCGTGGAATCAGCCTGACTACATTTCACTTTGCCTAATTGGACGTATTCCTGTCAAACGGAACTAAGCGCCAATTTGAGTTCCTCTTGAGGAATTTAGAATGCCGGATAGTGCGTTCTGTCAAAGGGAACTAAGCGCCATGGAAAAGCATTGCAAGTATAGGACGGAATGAGCTCGACTCCCGATTCCGCCCCAAATCAAAGCCCCTCTCTACCTTCCTCCTCCGATGGCGCTTAGTTCCGTTTGACAGAAATACATCCAATTGTCACTGAGTTTAATTTTTTTTAACAGAGGTCTGTACTCCTTTACACCTTCAAACTTCCTATGATTTCTTCCTAAATACTGACAAAATTTCAAACTTCAGTGTTATTTAGTTTTCTGTTCAAATAATGAAACATGAGGGTTGACAAGGCAACTGCTGGTGTAATAAAGCTGATTTTAGTCAAATCCGTCCAATTAATACTGTGTTCCACCATAATACTGCTTAATACTTTTCAGTTGACTTTTCTGCCTGAAATTATTTTAAGTATATTCCTCCTAGAAAAAAATACATCATCCCAAGTGACCCTGAACTGTATTTTCTGTCAAAATTCTAACTATCGTTTCATTTTTTCGAATCTCGGCTAGAATCGCAAGTTAATGCCACGGTTTGTCTTAAAAGAAATGGAATCTTTGTACATAGAGGAATTGAAGAGCTCCATAAACACGTTGATGGCTAATCTTGAGTCGTTACCAGTATCAAAAGGTGCCTCCGATTCAAAGTATGGGTTGCAGAAACTCAAACGACAAAATCACAGGTAAGGGAAAATCTCATCTAGCTCCTTCGCTCTTACATACTGCATTGTGGAATGACTCTCTACTTGTGAATGATTTAGTCACAGGAAATGCTAAATATCTCACATTTAGAAGCTTCTTGTCCAAGTATTCTGTATTTCCCGCCCCTTGCCCCAACTGACGTTAATGATTTAAAAACGGTGCATCTAGCAGGATGCTAAATTTTTTTTCGCTCAAGAATGAATTTGCTCGAGCAAATCAAGCACCAGTGTGTCAACAAGAAATTATTGTGAGAGACCAACGTAAGGAAAATTCAGGCATTGTACGGAAATTGTTTCAATTTATTGTGGTTTTAGTTTTACTATGGATGATATTTTGTAAATGAATCGAGAAATTTTAGGATCTAAGTAACCAAAACATTCTTGGTTATAAAAAGAGAAAGCTTCGCTGTTTTCAGCTGAAAAACAAGAAACAAATATCACTCTCTACAATTCAGCTTTATTCTCAAGCATCAATACGCCCAATTATTTAAGTTATGTGGTAGGACATATCTCTACCACTTATGAATTGAGTCATTTGTGAATATACATAAAACTGAAGAACCACAATGAATTTAAATGTTTTTGTGTCAATAATGTCTCATTGAAGCCTTTTCAAGCACTTCAATTATCTCTCAAACCAAAATTGTCGTCCATTTCAGCAAGTCTCAAAAAAACTTGTGAGAGTCAGTAATAATAATTCAAAGAGTAAAATATACGATCCAAGAAGGTGAGAAAGTAAGAATAGACATTTTGATTCATAGATTTTTACTATGTGTCACTTGTTGGCACCTTTGAAGTCCTAAAATTGATTAGTGGGCAAAAATTTCCGTTAACCATTTCACAGAGAAAATAAATATGTTCTATCTTTGCCTCCGCTCTCTATGTATCCTTTAGTTTATTTGAAAATTGTTGTCATTGCCTCTGATTGTTTGGTGTTCTCATCTCAAAAAAAAGAAAAATTAAAAAACTAAAGCAGAAAATCTACAAGCATATACGAAAGTATGTACGAGTGCTGGCCACATTTATTCTTCTGACCACCTGTTAAATTTGTGGAAACTACTTTTAACTTCAAAATTATGCAGGACTGTTTGATTGTTTCCTAAATGAACCACGTTAAACAGAAAGGAACCAAGCCTCATGAGGTATTGCCAAATTTAATTGGGCAATTTAATTTTTACACGAAAACGGTTGTGCGGATTTTTGTGCAAACAGTGAATTTTCTGCATAGTACGAAACAAATTCCTCAAAATCTAGAAAGGAATCTGCACAAACGTTCTCTTGTAAAAAATTTAATTGTCCTGCTAAATTTAGCAATAGCCGATGTGGCTTGATTCTTTTCTGCTCAACGCGGTCCAAATGCGCCAGTGAAGTAATACATATTATCCACAGTTAACTGTATTGCTAAAGCACGGTTCATGAGAATGTGAAAAAAAAACAGATCACAGGATTCAACCAACCCAAGATAAAATCGTGGTTTTTTAATAACAGCTCTACTTTCTAGTTTGCTATTCTTTATTTTATTCTGGGAAAATTTTCATAAATTTTCCAGTATTTTTTGGCAGAGAAAACACCAACCTCTCAGAGAATCAAACTTGTGTATTTTCCTTGTGCTCTTATTTCTCTCATGCAATCATCTCAATCTCGACCAACTGCTCTAATCTTCCATTGAAGTCTCTACAGTTATATCTCTATAATTTAGCGACTTCTTAGCAAGTATGGTCGCTAGGAAGAGACTATGACTTTAAAAGCTTTCCATCAGTCTCGATCACCCCTTCAAGCTTTACTTCTCTGCTCCTCATCATTTCATTTTCAATGTTTCCCTGTTCTTCAGAAGTCAACTCATAGCCTCCATAATTCAGAGCTCAATCTTTTTATGTTTTTGTAGCTATAACTGTACAGTTCCCCATCGAAACTTTTCTACCGATACAGCACTTAAAGCGTACAACCAATGACAGTGTGACAATCTGTCAAAGGAACTCAACAAGATTTCCTTTGACAGATCGTTTGGTCGCGATTTGCACGGTGGACTCATGCAACTTAAGGGCTGTATCTTATTCCTAACTAGGTTATTTAAGTAGGGTGTTCAGTTGTGTGGAAAATGTTTATTGCATGAAGGGCTCACGTTTTCCTTTCAAAAACCCATGATCGATGGCTAAACTCCCAAAGGACGCTTCACAATTCCAGTATTTCAACATTCATACTCTTACTTTATTTTCCGAAAGGAGGAAAAATCTAGCAGAGCACTTGAAATTCTAAAAGAACAAATTTTCAATATTAAATCATTATATTTGAAAAAAAATTATAATGATTAATTTTTTAATGAAAAACTGAAGTATGACGGGAAGTCTAGAAGATCGCAAATCCTGTGATTTCCCAGTTTGGTCATCGATTTCAAAATCCATTTAAGTCAAAGCGTAAGTTGGGTTATGTTAGGCACATCAGTGTAGCAGACATAAATAAAACAAACACAGACACTGTAAGAAATTAGTCGGGGTCAGCTGTACACCTAAAAGGTACATTTCTCAAACAACGATTATGGAACCCTCATTTTAGTATCATCATTGTTTACGTCAAAAAAATGGTCAAAAGTGTTTGGATATATCGGAGGATAAACGAATGAGTTCACTCTGTTATATCATGAATACCTTTTATCATCTAACTTTTTGCATTCTCACGACAAACTGTTTCAAGATAAAAATTTAAATGTTGGAATCTTAAAGTTTCTCAGTGAGCCGGATGATAAATTTTGTCTCAATTCAAGATTGATGTAATGATGAGGTAACGGGAATTATATCCTCTTCCAAACACGGAAAAGTGCTCTCTACTATAATTTTATGATTATTATAGGGANGGGGGGGGGGGGGGGGTTATTATACTAAGAGGCTCTGGAGCTGACTTAATTAATGTATGAAAGCAGATATTGAGTGGTCTACGTATAGATTGAAGAATCGTTGAACTTTCAGAGAAGTTGTGCCCAAAAGGTTGGGGACTATTCAAAATTGTCCTCTTGTTTTCTCCAAAATTTTTCTCATACTTAAGGTTCTCATCATGTCCGTCAAAAATTGAGAAAGCTGAAGTCTTCCACTCCTTTAAAAGACAATCATTCTCTTGAGGTTGAGTTTTCTGTTTTTGACAATCTCTTTGAAATAACTTTTTATATTCTTCGGTCATTCAGTCCAGTGAAAGGAAAAAATGAGAGATGTACTTTCTGAGAAATAAAACTATACTACAATAACCGCTATCTGCCTCGCTTTCAATGGAAGCTTTATCCTTTCTTTAATTTTGCAAATGAGCCTTTGGCTTCATATAATAATTTCATTTCTTTTCAATTGATTGCAATGCTGTATTAATCAAACCAGAAACAGTTTGTAATCATATAAGAAATAAATACAATTTGGGAGTGAGAACTGTGTTAATTTAAAAGTTGAAGCCTCCCATCACAATTATTATTTTTCTCTTTCATCAGGGAGCAGTGCATTTTAAATACATTTTGAAGTACATCTTTGAGCATGACTTTAAATTGACTTCAGCTCTCTCAGTTTTCTCTCATGAAAATATGTAATAGATTTGTTGTTCATAGTCTCAGATTATTTGATCTCCTAAATTTCTTATACAGATCCTCTGCTTCCTATCGAACAATGTCAATTCAATTTTAGGTGTACCCTTTCTCTTCCGTCACTCTACCCCCCGCATCTGTCGCTTTATCTGTACCCCTCATGACCATCTATGAACATCTATAAACATTAGCAGTTTCAGGCCTCATCTCAATTTTATTTTTCTTTTTTTTGGGGTCTAACCCTTGTTTTACAGTTTACTTTTTTCGGCTCTGCGGTCGAGGTACGTAGCCTCCGACTTTTGGGAATGCTAAGACTTTGGAAACCTAGTTTGAATTGCCCTTCACTTTTTTAGTATTGATCGCTGAAGTTTTGAGCTTAAAGCATATCCATCGCAGGAAGCGACTCGACAGAACTGCTCGGCAGTTAACGCCCGAACAAGTTTCTAGTACTTTTAGGCCTAGAATGCTTTCATTTTCCAACACATATCTTTTGCTTCACTAATTTCTCCTTTCTACCCCTTGTTGACTTTTTCAGTATCAACTCATTTACTGTTATTTGTTTCCTGTCACCTGAAAGCAATTAAGAGATCGGTTTAACAAACTTTTTAAAAAATTCCTAATTTCAGGAAAATTACAATTACACTTGGATGAAAAGTATTAGGCACTTATTTAACAATTTATTAATAGAGCTCTGAGTTTGACTGAATTTCTCGACTGAATATAATGTTTAATCAGAGAACAGTCTATCTGTTTGATCGATAGTTTTGATCAGTGCCATGATTTCGGTCATAATCACGACTTCATTATGCCCTATTTAAATTGTGGTTGTTGGGTGTCGTTCTGTAGAATGTATTTTCCATTGACCCAATTTTCTGAGAATGAATCAAAGGAAAACTTGGAACGTTTAAACCAACTTGATGGCTGAAGTCAAATATATGGACCTTTATTACAGAATTGAAAAAGCTCTTGAATGAAACATGAATGAAACAATAACTGAGGATATCTTGTGCTAGAAACATATGAGTTGCATCCAGAGACTATAAAAAGTTAAACATTTTTACAGAATAACATCTGCTAAAATTAATTTCTTAAAAAAAAGGAAAAAATCCAACAGAGCACTTTACTGAGTTTTCTTTCAATAGAATATGGCAAGGTAAGGAAAGGTGACAGAGAAGCAGACACCAGTTAATGAGCCCACTGAAAATGAACGAATGAGTTGTTTTAAAGGGAGGAACAAACCAATTTTCCTGATGAGTCTCAGACCGTAGCGTTCTAATCTCCTCTGCGTCTTATCTGGAAGTAGATCTGTTCTCTTTTGGAAACACCTTATTCAAATGGTAGTGAATGTAACCATTTGGGACCAAGTCTTGAGTGTTATTCAAAGTTGGCTGTCCTCGCCCCAAAGTTTTTAGACTTATACGAGGTAACTCATATCTTGTAGACGTAATCTGCATCCAGTTTCTGATTTATGCTGAGTTGAATACCAAATTAGTAGTTAATGAATTGAAAGTTCCAGCCTACTCCAGCTTGAAAGTTTTGATATTTCTGTAACCCCGCTTTGTGTGTACGAAAACAGGTTTAGGCATCAGCTGTTTAGACAGTCAGAGAGTTTTTAGATGTGACGCTTTTTGCGTGAATCTTTTGACTCTCCCAATTTATTTAATCAATAGACGGGTAGGAAGTAAAGCACCACAACTCACCTTTTCTCATCTAAATTTTGCGCATTGTGTTGCGAATGATTTGTAAATTTCCGAAGTCAGCTCATGAGAGAGAGATCGTGCTATTGCCCCATTTTAGTCCAGAATAACCGCCCGAACTTCCAGAGTAGACACTTTCATGCTTTTTGGCCTTTTTAATTTTTGCGGCACAGTTTTAAATAATAACTTTGAAAATAAAATCTGTGGAAACTCTTAAAATTTGTTCAATCTACCAGAGCATGTAGCTGTAATAATTTTGATTAGTGTTAAACTTTATCATGATGTCCCTTGCGGCGAATCTAATTTTGAAGAGCTACAAACATTTCTTACATCATCATCGAGAAGCTCAGAATTTTTTCAACAGAAATTAAGACTTTGCCTATTTTATAGGCACCACCATTTATCTCTCAACTTTGGTTACGCTAATAAGCAGAGTACGACCCTAGGTGGAACCTCTAAAATTTTCTCAATCTTCCCCTCTTTTTGTATCATACGAAGGAGAGTCAAGGGATCTTTTTAGGAGATCTCTATAGGGTCTTGGTGAATTGTCTTTTTTGGCGCAAAATATCATTGCTATTCATGTCATTGCCACTTTATTTTGCACCACTCAATTTTAATTGCAATCGAAAAACATTTATTTGCTTGTTTTAAACGAACGCAACTGACACCATCACACAATTACCACTTAGTCTAATTCTGGGTTTTTTACTCAGCAAAGTAATTTTTGTGTTTGAAGTTCTGACGGTTGATATCGATACCTGTTTCTGTACACCACAACCCTGGTTTTTTCATTTTGTTTTTTGGGTTTTAAGTTTGTGATAGCCCTCAATATTTCTCTCTTACCTCCGTGGATTTTTATCTGTCATCAATTTAAAATTTTGAAAGATAGAGTTTTTCCAGCTACTTTCCTCCCAACTCCAAGTAAAGTTCCTCTTTTTAAAAATCGTCAGGTGAGCTAGGTTTGCAAATTTTTGTCCCAGTGTAACATTGCAAGATTTATGTTGGCGAATCTTTATATTTTCCAAATTCAACCAAGCAAATGGAGAAAAACCAAAAATCCAAACTTTTTAACTCACTTATTTAAAAAACACTACTTAACTTCTCATCATGGGTTGAAACAACAGGTTTTTTCAGGCATCAAATCAGATTTTCCCCCATAATTTTTACATGCACATAGATGAGTTTTACAGTGAACTGATATCTGAAATATTAGTATGATTTTGGCTTGTTCACCGAAAGAAACACAAATGACACCATTTATAAGCACTTCTATCCAGATCATACGTTTTTATTTGAAAAATTTTGTTGCATTTTTGTGCAATAATTGAAATTTCAAAATTGTCATTGCAACTAGTAAACCGTTTGGTTAAACAGTCAAAGTAGTAAAAGGAAATTGGAAAAGGTGGCCAAACGCTAAAAACCCATTTGATCGGTAGAAAACTTTTTTATCGCATATCAAATGTTTCGGTGCATTAATCTGAGGTAACCGTTAGCTCTTCACTTTTAATGAAGTAATAAGTTGTAGCTCATCAGGGATTTTTGGTTGAGAACAGAACAGAACATAACCACCAGGAACTTGTACCTGGCCTTGGATCTTTTTTTTTATTTCATCGTTCTTTTTATTTTGGAAGTATTCTCAAAGAGTAATTCTATTCAAACTGTCTGAAACTTGTATTCTTTTCATTCTATTTTTCTATATACAGGATATTTTGTAAATCGGCGCAAGTAAGGTTTATTTGAGCCCCCAGAAGTCAAAAGTGACTGCTAAACGCATCTATTTTATAACAGTGCTACTGACTCATTCAGCTTAGTTGTACATGTCTTGTACATAATGGGCTCAAAACCAATGAACTTAGCCGTCAATATGAAGGAAGGTTTGATTATTTTCAGAAGAGAAATGATAGGAGGGCTGGCTGTCGTGTTGGCTTTCAAAACTGCATTCAGTTTAGCTTTAATGACAAGACTAGCATATCAGTGCCACCAAAAAATTTAGATTTTCATATGATAATTCCCTGCATAGGAATAGGAAATAATAAGTGTGGGTCTTAAAATGGTTCCAAACGTAATTAAAACAAATCTAGAATTTTCGTAGAGTCCTCATAGAAGGTGCCGAAATATCTAACCAAAAAAGGTTTGCTCATTGTTCGATTTCATTCACTATTATTCAAAGTGAAGTGAGGGGCGCAGATTTTTTTTCTTTAAAATAATTTTATTTCAGGTCACCAATCATCTGTATCGATTTCTCCTTTTTCTTTATTAAAGTGAAATTTTAGTGTTGATTTTAGGTAGATTCAGTGGACGCTTTTCTAATTTTTATCTGTTGCTTTGTCTCAGATCGTCTCATAGTCGAAGGAGAAGCTCTATCTTGAGGCAGGTAGAGCTTTAGCTAATCTTAAAATGTTTTTTCTTTTTATTACCTTGATTTTTCGTGTTCTTTGTTTTTTGTCAGTGATTTAATTTTTTATGATAGCTTCTCGGTTTTCCGTTTGATTTTAAAATATTTGGTGTTGTCGTTGTTTTTAATAAATTTCAACTAGGGAATTTTTTGTTTTATTTCTGTTCTGAAGGAGGGTTTTTTTCCATGTTGTCTTGAAGATCCTAATATTTTATTTTATCGTGAGTCTTCAGTTCATTTCGCATTAAATTTTATCCAATTGGTTTTTTTCCTTTTTGTGCATTAGTCTTGTATGTGAAACCACCTTTTAAAAGTCTCATCCTTTTAAATTTTTCATGACCTTTTTTTTTTATTGTTATTTTGTTTCTATGATTAATCTTTTTTATCATTCAATTTTGCCCTACGTTTTCCAATTTATTCATGCGAATCCCAACCTAATGTTATCCGTTTTTCCCCTTAGATCAGGGTCTTAATTATTTACCTGTGTGAGGCCAATTTCAAAATTATTTTTTTTTCAATCTTAAATCTTAAACTTGTGTGAGGAAGAATTACGTATGAAAGGCCTTTCTATCTTTCTTGATTACTCACAGTCTCAATGCTCCTTTTTGTATCTTTTCCTGCGCCTGTTGATTTGCATAATTTTCTATTCTGCTTTCAAATGTCCTAGCTATCTTCAGGTTATTCTTACAAGAATGATAGGATATGTTGTTGTTAAAACACGGTAATTCAACTTTATCTACAGAAATAATCGCTTGTTGAAGTTGGCTTTTAATCATGTGTAGCCTCAGTTGAATTGAATTCTTATCTTCTTAGTGCGCATCTTAAGGAGGCGCTTGATGCCTCTCATAAGAGGAAAGTAATTAGTCTTCCCCCTCATTTAATAAAATTTAATACCCTTAAAGTTTGCTTTCTCGTATATTAAGATCATTATTTTGACAATGCTCCATATTGCATCCAAACATTAGGACTTCAGTGAGGTGATTTTAGTGTTGTGACGGATTTTAAGCAAAGGATTAAAATATCTAGTCATATGTTTTAAAGCACTTTAAAGCACTACTCAGGAAAGAGGGCTCCCTACCGCATATTGATAATTCCACCTTTAATGGAAGTATTAATATTTGTATCAATTGAGAGTATAGATTATCTTGCTTCTTGTTTCTTAATTGTAGCTTTTGCAATAAAAATGTGTAAAATCAAACACAGTGCTTAGTTATTGATTCATCAACTTTTCTCTCAACTGACGGAGGAGGAATCGTAAGCAAAATGGAATTATTTAACAAGTCAAGTAGAGCCATGTGACATACTGTTCAAATTGCTGAATCTGAAACAAAACGTAACGTAAATCTAATATTATTTTAATTATCCTCTATTCTAAAAAAGAAAGTTTCAACAGGTTCTCTTGTTTGAGAAAAAGAAAATGCTTTCTTGAATATTAAAAAATTCCTTTTTTTAACATGAGAATTCAGCATTCATTCAGAAATCAATTAATTAGCTTCAAGAAGTCTTAAATGATAGTTGAAAACTCCGAACTTTAATTTTTTCCCCTGGATGAAATCACCTCTCTGGCAGTTCAAGTATCAATGAACGATGAGTTTTCCTTCTCCTTTTCTTCTTTGTATCGTTTGAAAATTTCTTTACTAATTTTTCAGCTAGTAATTGTAGTATTGATGTAAAATTTGTCAGCTTTTATTTTCCAATAATTAAAAAGCTCAACTTTTCATGGATTCTTCTTTGATTATAAAATAGGAAACTTCTAAATGACGTCAAAAAAGGACTCATAATGTACTTAGCGCCTAATTAGGAAACTCTTATTTTTCTTGTCCTTTCTCCTTTGATCTTCAACCTAGTTGCCAAGACATTAAATAAAAAATTATTAAAGGTTTTTTTTTTCTTTTAAATTATGTTTTGATTTAACCAAGTATGATTTTTCCGTTTGATGTACTCATAATCTCTCCAAGTCCTATTTACTGTACACTCGTACTTCGCGTTGCTTTTGCATGACCTCTTTGCTAAACTTTGCTATTGAAAGCCTTCTAATGAATGGCACAAAATCTTCTGTCTCAATCTAGCACTTATTTCTTAAGTTGATTTAAGCTCTCTCATTCTGTCGCTTAGTGCTCAATTCTATCCAATTGAATAAAATGTTTAGTAGGCAAGTTTTGACAAAAAAATGTCTTAAATCATATCTGGCCAAATTCCATGTGAATTATGATATATCAAAGGGTTAAGTTCTAAACCAATTTTTTAGCCCGACATTATGGCAGCATTCATTAAAAGTAAAAATTCAAAATGCTAAACATTTTCCCTGTCTAGAAATGATGAATTCAGTCGCTAATCACCAATTTTGGCATAATTTTAAACTTCTTCTTGCATGTTTACAATCGTCCATGGGTAAAGAGACCTTAGAGCTGAAATACTCAAGATGAAGACATTGATATCAGTCTGTGCAGAAGTTTTACTAAATTCTTGGCCCAAAAAACGCTCATAAGTGTAACAAAAATAAACATATGTTTTTTTTTTTTTTTTGAAAAAAATTTCAGAGATATTGAATTTTTAATTTAATGTAGTTTAAATCGCGAAAAGGATGCAGTCAAAAATAAGCTGGTTAAAATTTTCATCTGCCATTTTTGGGGTGTAAAGATGTTTGCGCAAACTGAGATTTTTTTTTTTTCAACCCAACTTGATACAAGTTACTCTAATGCATTTTCTTAAAGTCCTTTTTTCATGAATGGTGAAATACCTCTTTCCACTCAAAATTTTAATGACACAACATGGAAATGAAAAGCCTTAATTCAGACTTTGGCCTGTCTGAGATGAAACTCTCGTGTATATTTTTCAACTTAATTTATTCTTTGAGACTTTAACATCAGCAAAACATTTAAAGATGTGAAAACTTAGTAAATTTCGATGAAATTTCCGAGATATTAAAATTTGCCTGATTCATTTTTCCTTAAATAAAAAAAATCGTTTAGTTCGAAGTGAACAAGACAGATTTTACCCCTTCTTATTCAAGCTTGCAAATACTACCAAGGTCTTTTCAAATCGATTGAATTGCACATCAAGCGAAAGTAAGTGTGCTCAAAAAGGACTCATTTTGCTGAAAATTTGGCTGAAAGTTGAATATGTTTGGGTTAAGCAAAAATATTTGGTGCTGATTGCACTGTTTCAGAGTTTCTTGCATATCAGATAATTCAAGTCAGCACAGCATTCTCTGTAGTTTTTCAGTGTTGTGCACTAATTGCCGTCTATAGAAAATTAACTCATCGGTTTGGCATCTTTGCTCATTATATAAGGATGATCACCAGAGAGATTAATCTACAAATTTCTGAAACAGTATATCAGACGTAAAATATTTTTGCCCAAGCTAATGCAATTATGTGATTTTTTTTGCATCGTTCTGGGGTGCAAAACAATATGCACAGAATTTTAAGTAGCATGCAACTTATTACATGCCCAGACTTTTAACGCTTTTGTTCGCATCAATATCGCATAAACAGTTAAGAATAGCTGCTGAAATAAAAACGAGCTGCAACCTTATAGTTTGGAGTTATTTTAAAGCGTTCCTTGATTTTTAAGCTGTAGATAAGGGCTCCAAATATTCGCTCAGATATTGAATGCTATTTAATAGATTTAATTGCTTGAATTCCATTTTAAGTGCGAATTTGAAACAAATGCTTCTGCGTTTCTGAATGCCTTCCAACGCTCCAATGATTGCACCAAGCTAAGCAGCATTTAATAGTTTTCAGCTTCAAACTAATTCCGCAGCTCATAAAATAGTTTTTTTATCAAATTTCCTGCAGCCTGTGATGGAGATTCACAGCTTTGTTTAACTTTAGTTTTAAGTTTCATTGCGCTATGATAGACTTGCAAGTATTTACTATCTCTTGTGTTTTTATTTTGATGATAGCTGTAATTGGCACCGTCTTCCTTACAGATCCCAAAGCTCACTCGTTAAGCTAGATGGTGATTCGGCAGAGAATGATACGCAGCTAACGAAAATGGATGTTGTCCTTACTTTTCAATTAGAGGTGAGGCAGTTTTAAAATTTAACTACAAACACGTCATTTTTAGATAGCATTAGCTTGGAAATCCTGCTCTAATGCACCTCTAGTCTAGGTAAGGTGCAAATGTGAGCATCATGATCTATTTGTCATCAAAATTTCCCGTAGAACACGATTTGTACAATGAAAACTACTGAAAAAAACTCATCACAAAGATATTAACGTTTTTCAATTTTTAAAGGTCAGTGCTAGTAGGGATGTTTCAGTTTAGCAATATGCTGACCAGCCGACTGATCATTGAACTTGATAGACAAAGCTATAGACTAAGATAACATATGGAGTATGGAGGGATCCTATTGGTTGCAACTGGTGGCTTTTATAGACTGAGGGAGAAAATGATGGACTAACTGTCGGGTCTCTTGTCGGTTGCCATTAGTTAGTCTATTACTTACCTCCTTTGTCCATTGCAACCACATGCTTCCACCAATAGGATTCCACCATATCCTTCTTGTCTTCATTGTCTACAGATTTGTCTTATCAATTTCAATAATCAGCCCGCTGGAAGGAAACTGGTTTTGGATCACATTTAATCGAAAAATCAATGATAATTAGATGAGTTCCATCCAGCATTAGGTAACTCAGTTGGGAGGCGCTTGGGTTTGCGCTACTTATGGTTTCATTTCAAAAGGAGGAGCTGTGTTAAAAAGAGAGAAAAGCAGGTAAAGTTCAGTGCATAACACTTAAATGCCAACCCCCCCCCCCCCAAAAAAAAAACCTGCCATATTTACACTGGTAAATGTTACTTCATTCATAGAAAACCCAGGTGTGAAATTTTTGTGCTTAGATTATCAGCACCAAATAATTGGTAGCTGAAACTTATGCCAGTTTGAAGATTACTACAGTGTTTTTACTACTCGTTTTGTTTTTATTTTACAGGTTTTAGTAATGGAAGTACAAGGTTTAAAATCTTTAGCACCAAGTCGAATTGTTTACTGTACGATGGAAGTGGAAGGTGGTGAGAAACTGCAAACGGATCAGGCTGAGGCTGCAAAACCTACGTAAGGAATTAAATAACTCTAGATCAATTTTTATGCTTTATACTTGGGGCTGCAATGGCAGAAGTATTTGTAAAGGTCAATTTCCTGGGCGAAGTCAAGTGATTAAGAATATATTATTTATCAATATTTACTCTAATGTTTGTCTATCGACACAAAAAGGGACCTTAGTCCCTGGAAAACAAAGTTTCAGTAGAGCTATTAAGTAGCGTATAAGTTTCCAACTTTTTCAAACTCCTTCTTTTTTACTTGATTAATAACTTCTCTAATTATTTCAATTTTCAATCGTAGAGGTATATTTTTTCAATATTAATAAATAGATTTTTAGTAGTTCCTAGAATTACTCAAAGCAGATTCTCTTGTAAATTAATCATTTGTAGATATTCAATCAAAAATTATCTTTTTCATCAGTTACCAAAATCAGTGCTAATATCAGGAATCAATCAAGAGAAGACCGATAATGTATCGGACCGTTTGATGTAGTATACAGTCCTGATTTTTCTATCATATCATTTTTAGTTCCTAGCACTACTGATTTTTTTTCATTATTTTCAGTAGATTATGTATCATGATAAAGTTATTCTTTAAACTAGTCTCGTTTGACACTTAATGAGAACTCACGGTAACTTTTTTTGGGGTTTTTTGCAAAAGTGCCTGAATTATGGTATGCTCTCTGAAACAACATTAACTTATGATTTTTTCTTTTGGTTAAGGTGGGACACCCAAGGTGATTTTTCCACGACGCATCCTCTTCCTGCTGTAAAAATTAAATTATACACGGAAAATCCGGGTATGTTAGCATTAGAAGATAAAGAATTAGGCAAAGTTATTTTAAGGCCAACGCCTTTATCTCCCAAGGTAAGTGAATTTTTCTTTCATAACTGTAGTTAAGAGCTGAAGAGACGTTAGCCAGCACTTTTCAGAAAGTCAAGTTTTTCGCCTTCTTGATATGCTTTGAAGGGATTTCGTGTGTTTGAAAAAGTTTGAAGTCAGGCACAAGATTAAGATTTTATAAGATTACAAATTAATTCAGAAGGAGTGAAGCTCTAAGGTATTTTACTGTAACGTCTCAAAGCGGTGGAGGTATTAGTTACGGTTTTTTGGCTCTTAGCTATAGTTATCTCTACACATCCAACTGCTTTTTACAATTGGATTGCAATAAGCAAAAAGGAACCAGCGCGATTCTAGTGTTGTGAAAATGTTGCTTCTTCATAATTATCCAACAAATCTCCCAGAATAGCAAATAGTTTTGGCTTTCCATCAAAAAATGGTTAATTTTAAAGGGAAATAACTGTGTACATTTTAATACTGTACATATATTAGGTATTTTTAAAAGAAAATGAGTAATTGCACGATTTTGAAAACACTGTAATTGCACTGGTTCCTTTTTGCTAAATGCGATCCGATTTATCTTAGAGGAAAATTAGAAAAAACATAATTCAACAGAAGTGAGAAAACTTTGTCGAATTCTATGCTCTCTTTCAAATGATTACAAAACAGGGTTTTAGTCAACCTGGGGAACCTGGAAAGTCAAGGAATTTTGCAAGGAGTGCTTCAGCTAGGCAACTTTATCCTGCGCCATTCAAGAGAGTGCGTATGTAGAAAGTACAATTTTCAAAGCTTAGATTGAACATCATACTTATGAAATAATAAATGAAATTTAGCCGGGGCCAGACTTTTTGATTTACCATGCAAGGTCTTTTTTTAATTAAACTAGTCGAAATAACAGTCACTTATTTGCTACATTTAACTACCTTTATTATCATTTAAACTAATTCTGTTTGGAACGTTTCAGTTCAAAAGTAGCGTGAAAAAGTGAATTTCAGAAATCTCAACATGTACATTCCTACAAAGCTTTGAAAATATTATGCATTCATTTTAGTGTCTTTCCCCATTGCAAGAATAAAAAGAGTTACCCTAGAATTTTTTTTTTTTTTTTTAACCAGGGTCCAGAATGGCATAAAATGACTATTCCTAAAAATTGTGCGGATCAAGACTTAAGGATCAAAATTGCCTGTAGAATGGACAAGCCTTTAAATATGAAGCATTGCGGGTAAGTTTTATAGTTTACTTTTTTAACAAAACTCTGAAAAGAACTCTTGAACAATTGTCTATTTTTTAAGAAAATCAACTCATAAAATCGATGCAAGTATCAATGAGAGAATTGTGAGAATGAGGTATCACTAACTCACTTCGTCAGTTTGCTGTTCAGGTAATAGACTACAACACACGGTCCAAAATTAAGTACCGCACTATGTAAGTTCCCTTTTTCAATTTTTATATAGAACATGATGAATGCATTTTCGATCCAATTCAATGATTTAATTGAAAATCCTTGCTGCATGTAAGAACAATTTATTTTTCTTTCACAAGTGACGGTTTTATGGTAATTAGTTCTCATTCCTGTCTCAATTTGATGCTATTTTCTTTGACAGGTATTTATACGCTCAGGGAAAGAATGTCTGGAAGAAGTGGAAAAAGCGGTGGCAGGTTCTAGTTCAAGTTTCGCAATATACTTTTGCTCTTTGTAGTTATAAAGAAAAAAAATCGGAGCCCTCGGAAATGATGCAGTTGGATGGATATACTGTAGATTATATTGAGGCTGCAAGTGGTAAGTTTGTTCAGAGATCTCATAAATCAGGAAAGAAGCCTCAGAACTTGATTGTATTATTCTTTAGGGCTTATTCATTCATTGATTCTAATAGTTTTAAAATGAAATCTCAGAGCAGAATTGAAGCCTCCAGCGAGTGGAGGAGGTGAGTAAAAATTTATTTTAATAGAAACATTTTTTCAAGGTGTCACGATAACGTGGAGTCCCACGGCTCATGAAAGGTTGAAAATGATTTTTCAGAGCTTAAAATTAAGTTTCTGAGGTTTTTACCGCAGATTATAATTGAAAATAAGCTTGGTTCAAAAAATCACTTATTTTTTTTTCTCAGAACAGAATATTTCTTTTATCTTTACCTATTTTTCTTTAAATGAGGATTTTATGATAATAAATTACAGTGATCATGGAGAGCAGAACGAACAAAGGTAAATTAGGAGTAGAGCATTAATATTAGAATGACAGACAATGGCCAGTTTATAATCCTGGAACCCAGAAATCGCAATTCCGAGGTGACGTCAGAAGGAGTAAAATCACCGCGTAGTAGAGTCTCAGCCAAGAAATCTACAGAAGAAAGCTCGCAACAAGAATTATATTATTATTCTAACATAATACGACTATCACTTATGCCTCTAAAATATCAGTTGCTATTAATTTAAACTGAGTAATGTACTTATAATCTTACAATGAAAAAAAAAAGGAAAGAGCAAAAATTCAGTAAAACAATTCTACTTTTTCCGTCTGGAATATTAGGAAATAAAATATTTTGAATAATAAACATGACAGGATTAATAACTGCCCATTAATTGTAAAAGAACTTGTAGATGAATTTGGAACTTCTTGGCTTTGTTTTTCCTACGAAATGGTGTGGCCCCAGCTCTATTTATTCACCTTGTCACGTACAGTTCGGGCCATTTCTTAGTGTTTTTAATCGTTAATTGTGAAAGCCAGTTTGTAATTGGTTGTTTTTGTTTTCCTCTGGATAGCTAACATGATGGTTGGAATGGGTAAGTCAGTCAGGAATTTTCTTTAAGCAAAAAGTAGCCCAGAATGGACGCTGTTAAACATCGGGAGTCGATAAACGTCTCTTTTTTGAATCATTCAAATATTGCTACAAACCAAAGGCTCTCGCTGTAAAGTATTTATGGAAGTTCTACAGAAGTTTATGACTCTAGAGAATATGTATAAATATGAGTTCATCCTGAAGAAGTCTATTTACAAAGGATTCCTTGTTTAAATTGATTTTTTCCCCCCAAATACGTCCCTATAACTTTTGGATCTTGAAGTTTAGTAGGATCTGTATTTTAGGCTTCATCAGAAAATGTCCATGAAAACTCTGTACAGCTGAGTGTAAAGACTTTATTTTTTCTTAACCTTTTCTGCCCTTCTAAGTTGATTTTTGAGAAATTAAGTGAATTTATAATAAATCTCTGAATTAAGAGATGGAATTTTTTGGAAGAATATGTGGTTAAACGAGTAAAAAAAGTGAGTTTGCAATGTTTATCATAATTGACTTTGGTGCTGAGCATGGCCGATTCTGCTGGAACATTGAAAGTTTCCGCCCTTTTCTTGCTCATTTGCTGGTACACACACGCATAGTAAGATACTTTAAATTATCTCAAGGGAAACATCGAATAGGCCTGACTTATTTTTGAAAATAAACTTGAAGTAACTGATCAAAAAGATTTTGACTGTGGTGCCTCTGATTTTTCAGACCTGGAAGGTGGCCGTTATTTTTTCAATGCTGTCAAAGAGGGCGACAGCATCCTTCTTGCCTGTGATGATGAAAGCGAGTGTCATTTGTGGGTCATGGCCATGTACCGTGCTACGGGTCAGTCCCACAAACCCACACCCCTTGTAACTCCTGCTGCCAAAAACTCGACAATATCCAAAATTCAAGGAGGTAACTATGCCACTCACTCAAAGTAATATTTGTTTTAAACGACTATCGATTTTTCCTTTTGTTGTAATTTTTTTTTAACACAACCATCAGTTTTATTTACAATGAATCTGAAACATGTATGAATCGTCATCCTGCTTCTTTTTTCCTGAGACGAACTGTGAAAATTTTATCGCTGTCCTCAGCGAAAACACCATGACTTTACTATAGATTTTACAATACTTCCTTGTACAAAAAGTTCTACCTTAACTAAACTTGATCATATATTTGTCTCGTTTTATTCAGTAGTATTTTTCATTGATATGAACAGATTTTGTCAAAAATGTAGGACTAAATACCAATTTTTGCTGGTCTTCTTGCAAGAGCATATTTTTTTGGAGATAATATTGGATAATCTAGAGTAGAGCTGTGGCATTTTTGCTTTGAATGGCAGATAATTCAAGGTATCTGTAACTGGTCCAGCAATTCCAAAATAGCACTTAAATTTTTCGGATGATGTGGAAGATCTTATAAATTTCCAAGATATTATCCAAGGTCATACATTTTATGCTTTGTTATAACCCTGGAAGTCATGACGCTTGCGTTCATTCTATTCAGATGTTATTTCATTTTTTGCCCGCATTATGCGGTTGTGTGGTCAGCTAACAAAAAAGTGAGAAATAAAAATTTAGTCCAAGTTTTTAAGGTTGAAATGTAACAAGTGTTATAGAAACGCTACAATTCACATCAACTTCAAACAAAAAAAAGCTGTTGGAAACTTTATTTCTCCACAAGACTTAAGTTTATAACCTATTTCAATGACCCTCCTCTAGTTAGAAATATTTTTTCTCAACTTCGAATTTCAAACTGAAGACAACTTACAACTTGTTGAATTGAAACCTGCTCCAAACTCATTTTTCCTTCAAGTACAACTTGATATGTTTCCGTTAAGCCCGATCCAAATGAAAGTGTTATTTCTCTAAATTTGCTGATTTCAGTAGAATATATGTATTTTGCGATAATTTTTTAACTTGTCCTCTTTTTCATGATTGAAGCCAATTGATTAGTTAATTTCTATTGGTTTCTCAAATCATTGGCTAGTCCACAAAGTTATTCTTTTATCTCTTTTTGAAATTTAACTTTTAAAAAAAAATTCTTAAACTGTAAAAAATCGCATTTAAATTTTTGCTTCTCTTTTCAGATGCTGATAAAGCTAGGAAACATGGAATGGAGGAATTCATTTCAGCAGATCCTTGTAAATTTGATCATGCCTCCTTGTTCAAAACGCTTCAAACATTAACATTAGATTATAGGCTTAATGATCCCTACTGTTCATTGGTAAGTTCTGAGCCTTTCAAATTGTCCTTCAGTAAATTGTCATTGTTTGCTGTCTAAAGGTTTCTTTTTTGTAATGAAGCAACTTTGCTTTTTCCAAGCTTTAAACAAATATTTCCTCCTGGGCTTTATTCTTTCTATGTGTGTTATTCCATACAGTTATTGCTCATCATGAACTTACCTAAAAACTCAGGGTTTGTGACACACTAAAGTGCTGTTAGTGTGCTTTGATTTATTTCAATATTTTAACGAATGTCCCTTGAATTTTGGAAAAACACCAAGAAGTACCAAATTGAAAGTCCCCATTTATTTGGTTATTTTGTTTTCATCTAAGCAGAAGACAAAACCTCATTTTTTCTCTTGTCATCAAGACTTCTGATGTACAAGATACCGTTATTTTCATATTGCTTATATTGATAGCCAAAGTGAAAATCCACGTATCTCCATTGTGATGTTTCAACCTTTCCGCCCAAATTTTATTTTTATTAACAAGTTAACATCATTCCTTGAAGTTTTTTCAAAATTTACTTCGCAAAGAGAAGAAAAATCACCGAAGTTTTTAAGAATTGACGTCAAACAGTGCTTCATTTTAAAAATAAAGTATGATAGGCAGCCTGCAAAGTTGCAAATGGAGATCTGGGGTTTTGGAGTTTCACTGTCGATATGTTTCGGAACAAGAAGGTACGAGAAGAGAAAGTTACGGTTTCAAGGTCTTTTTAAAGCATTGAAATTTGTATGTACGTCTGGGAAGGTTTATTGGATTATTTTTTTGAATTTCCAAGGAAATCCTCGAAATTTTTTGGTTTTGAAAAGCTGTCATAAATCTGCAGACTTATCTTCGGTTTTTCATTGTTGCTTGTATTGTTGTTGTTTCCACTAAATTTATTTCAATTTTTTCATTCATGTTTTACTTGGTTCAGGAAATGTTTTTGATAGTCCCACTTTTTTGTGCCTCTAATCTGACGTGTTATTTTGCAGGGGTGGTTCAGTCCTGGCCAAGTTTTCGTCCTTGATGAGTACTGTGCAAGGTACGGTGTTAGAGGATGCTTCCGGCATCTGTGCTATTTGCACGATCTCCTGGATCGAGCGGAGAAGAACATCATGATAGATCCAACTTTAATTCACTTTAGCTTTGCGTTTTGTGCCAGTCATGTCCATGGCAACAGGTAATCACTTTTATCCTTTGATGTTTCATGGACTGAAAGAGATGAAAAGACAGAATAATTTACCGCTTTCTTATTTTTACGACAGAGCGTCTGAACTAATTCTAAACATAATCTGAAGAAAATCAGCAAAACCAAACTCAATATATTTAACCCTCTATTCATAACTGGATTGTTCTTTAATTAATGAATCTTACAGAGAAAAAAAAGAGTGTACCATTTACTTTGGGACATTAAGATTTGCCTCCTCTAATTTTACTGTCTGTGGAAAATACACTTCGGAGGGAAAAATAGAAACCCATGCACCCCTGCTGATAAATTTTTATGACCTATCACAAACATAAAATTAACATAATTTGGGCAACAAGGCTAAAAATTCTCAAGAATTTGGAAAATGTGGTAATTTTCTTGTGAACCTCATAAGGAGAGATTTTTAAGAGTATTAATAGAGCTCCAAGATAGCTTTTTTTCCATAATGGGAAATTGGTAATGCAACATTGAATAAGTACACTCCGTGGTATTATGTAAAAATCGTGAATTTTTTGTAAGGGAAATAAAACGGTCCATTTCTACACCTTCCATGGGGTAATTTGTCCGTTTCCCAGATATTTCTTTTTCTTTTTCTGATAAGCGCTAAAGATGTGTCAGAATGAGCTTTTCAGAAACCTCTCCGATTGCTATCGTTTCTTCGTTGATGTCGCACAAAAGAGAGAGTTTATCCATGAAATGAGAAAAAGAAGGAATAGAAAAACCACTCTAAGATCACCTACTCCTTTAAGTAATTAGTCCTTGTCAATTTTGAATTCCAAGGTCAAACCTCGCTCGGTTCACTTTCCTTCAACAAACTGCTTTTCATGTCCAGTGTATTTTTACTGTCCAAGGGGAACTTTGTTAGATGTTGAATTGTCTTTAGTCGATGTTAAATATTTGATGGTTTCACTTTTCGTCCATCTCTCTTCTTCAAAAGCGAAACACAAGCAATATTTGTCGGTCAATGTGGAGCAGTGTGATTGCTGTGATCTCTTCACCTTCTGCTTGGTTGATTTGTGTCTCAGTATTCTCGTCTCCTCTAATTCTGTGCTCTTCTTAATTTTTGTCTCTGTGTGAAACTTTTTCTTCGAAGTGCCTTGAAAACAAAGACTTCTCACCTCTAAACTGAAAAATTTCGAAGTGTTATGTTTGCTATCTTATCTCTTGCCATTATGACAATATACACTATCACTTTAGCAAGAACATCAAATTAAATACAACCCGATAGGTACATCAATATAAAGAAACAACAAATATCAGAGCCAATTACTTGATTTTTTTTGGTGAATCAAATCATTACTTGTCGAGGCATAAGTCGCAATAATTTGACTAATTTGAACTGATGATAGTTCTCGGCAGCTAAACGCGGAAACCATATGCTGCAGTTATAGTTTACAGACTTTTTCCCCCATTTAACCTGAGTCAAATACTGAAAAATTGTTGAACAGTAAATTACTGAGCTTCATCTATTAATTTATATAGAAATGGTTAGGTTGTGATGTTATTCATCCATTTTCATCAGGTTAGCCGTCAACTTATCGATGAACCAAGCAAAAAAATGAGTATCTCAGATTGCAAAATTGTACGTCTCCATTCGTGTTCCATTTTTTTAAAGGGAAGTTCACCAAAAATTTGTATTGATTTGCTGTGAATTTTTGTTTTCATTCTGAAAAAATCATACAGAATTTCAAGAAAGCATCCTGATTAGTTTTCCTTGAATAAAATACAACATTTTCAGAGATTTTTAAACGCAGCAAGTGGGAAACATTTTTTTGCATTTAGCCATCTATATTCTGCTTGCATGTCAAGCAAAGTTGATCGCCGAAAGAAAGTCAGTTACATATATTATCTCTTATCTCCTTTTCTCTTAAATTATGAAGAAGAGCAGTATTTTATGATGGAAATAGAGTATGAATTGGTAAGAGCGAGTGATTACTTTCAGCAATCTGGATGCCACTATTTTCGGAGCTTCAACACTCTATTCTGAATCCATAGACGTTGTTGGGTTTGGTATATCAAATAAAGTGTAACAGATCGACGGTTTCTCTTGTTTTATTTTTTATCGAACAGAAAAAATTGTGAATTTCATCAGATGTATTTTTATTAATCCATTTCATATCAGAATTCCCTCATCAGTAGATTCTATTTCGAAAAATTTTAAAGGTTCCAGTCGAACAGGCTCCCTACATGAACATGTGCTTTATTCTCCGTAATACCGTATCAGATTAAAAAATACACAACAGATATTCTCTCGTAACAACAGTACATACCTTGATCTTTAATAGCTCGTATTTGTCTATCTGAGCTATGCTAATGACAAGTAACATTTTCCAATTTTTTCAAGTTACTAGAAAATGTATACATGGTAAGAGAACTATGTCATGCTCATGAATTCATTGGAAACATAATATGAAACTCATACATACACAAAAGCCGCTTTCCAAGTGCGCTCTGGCGCTCTGCGACACCTAGCCGCTAATGTCAACCAGTCAGTGTTTTCAAACTCAGTGATTCAATTTTACCGTACTGAATGAATTTCAGCTGGTTAAAGCATTTGTTTGCAAATGAATAGATGTATTTAAACAGAGTCAGCCTTCCTGCATTAGTTCCTACCTAATTTCCCCTCAAATTTTATTTTTAAAAAGAAAGTAAACAACGTAACGCCTTGAAACTTTCTGTGAACTTTCCCAGATTGTTGTTGTCGATTTTTTCGATTTCTTTTCGATTGAAAAATAAAAAATGAGAGGAAAGTAGTCGATGCCCGATGTAGGTAGGTCGATTTTGATTAAATAAGTCCAAATGATCAGTAAAACGAACTGTCAGAGATTTAATGTAGAGAGATCATTTCAAAGCAAATGGTCCAAGTGATCCAGTTTTTAAGTACATAAATGGAGGAAGATGTTACTTGCCACTTTGTATCTGCACCTTTCAACTGTCTTGTAGTTACGTGTGTGTTTGATTGCACTAATTCCCATTCATGGTTTACACTAGCACGGAGGTATTAGAAGACAATACACCTGTACCCAGGTTCGTGATAAGCACTGTTTTTCTCATTTTTTCATATTTTTGAACGATTTTTTCTCTCCACTCGTATTTCTGTTTTTTGAACGGTAACATACCTTTGATGCGCCTTTTTTCTCTTTGGACACTTTTGTTTTTTGGTGCTGATTGCTTCTGTTTCATGCACTTTGTCTAAAGCAAATTAAAGCATCCACAAAGAGAGCATCGAAGTGAAAAGGACTTTTGTTTAATAGAAGAAACAGAGTCATGAAGGGGTTTTGTTGCATTGTGAGCTTTAATCAAATAATTTATTTATTCATAAATGGGTGCATGTTTTAATTTAAAAATGCCAGAAAAAAATCAAATCTTAAAAAATCCCTCAATACATTCTAGAGAAAGTTTGCAATCATTCTTTTGCAAATACAGTCAAACCTTAGTTATCCAGCAATTTGCGGCCAAGGCCTGCGCTGGATACTGAATATGGCAAACAATTGATAATCCACAGAATTTGTCAGAAATACTGAAAAAAAAATTCAAGAAACTGATCCTCGGCTCAAAATATGTTCCTTAAAATGACCAAAATGACCTGAAGATGTCTGCTGGAAAACTGAAGCGCCGAAGAACATGAGGTCTGATTGTTGGTGAATTTTTGAATAACTTTTAGCTGTGTTGCAATGCAATTAAGCCCTTTTTGCTACGTTACCTTAAATTTGTCAGTAGTTATCGTTGTTGCTTAATTTAAATTTGAGCCATGAAAGTTGTTATTCATTTTTGTGCTTAAACCAATTTTTGCATTATCAACTCAATGGTACTAGAGCTAAAATGTTTTCACTGGATCATAAGTGAGGACTGCTATGATTTGAATCTGTGCCACGTATCATTTTTTTTTACTTTTTCTGTCCTCTGTTTACTCCCAAATTTTTTCTTTGTTGTGACCGTATACATCGCTCCAAATTCACCAAATGCCCACAAGTACACACATCTTGCACAACATTTTACAACATCTTGTGATGTCCACTGCAGGTCCAAAAGACAAGTACTTTTCCCGGAGACTTGTGAAAATGATGACACTGTGCCTCTCCTATCGTCCGTTTTATCGCATGATAATTTTTCTCAGGCTCTGTTTTGCATCGAAATGGTTGTCTCGTCTGCTCTGTTTTTTCAATTTGTAGTTTAGCTGTTTCTACATTTTCTTCCGATTTTAATTCTCACAGATGTGTTTCATATTCTTCTCTTCTTTCATTTTTGACCTGCACATTGTGCATTCCTGGAATCTGTCTTTTAATTTGCTCCAAAAATATGTGTTTATATTTGCCGAGTAGATTAGTGGATGAATTCATCAATTTCATTGGTTTAAGTGTCTCATTATATTCGAATTTTTTTATGAGGTAATATTTCTGTTGCACTTTGAATTTCAATCTCCTGTTTTTTGTCGTGTGTTGTCAACTTTGCATGATAAAATCTGTTGAAGTACTCAGACTTTCAACCCTGGAGCCAGTGAGGATGCCCAATTTTAGAGCTTCAGGTGTAATTTCTTCAACTGTAAATTTTAAACTTAGATTACTCTGTCCACCTTATGCTCTCCGCCCCTAAAAACTGTTCGGTCATTTTTTAAGAATTATTCTTTTTCATATTTCTGCATTTCTAAAAAAATCCTAGAAAGCACAGGATATTATGGACACTGGACAGTGACATTTTTTCTCTTTTTTTTTCTTTCTCACATATTTGTACAATATTTTTTATGCAATTTGAATACCTTATCATATGTGGATCCTGGATTGGTAAAAAAGGCACCAAATGCAGTAATGGGAAAGTAAGAAAAAAAATGTTGGGCCTAAGTTATGGCTTCATCATCCCTCTTTCTACATTAAATTGAAAGATGGTTTTTGCGTTTAATTTTCACTTTAAGGAGGAAAGTTTTGCGTTGAAATACATCAGGAACCATCTAGTTTGCAAAATGAAAGATAAATTTAGGTATGACTTTCACCGTATTAAGTAGATTGACACTTCTAGGCACTAGCTGAGGAGTGATTAGTGTGAAAGAAGATCACAGCTTACTATGCTCTGCGTCTTAGATTTTTGCGGAATGCGCAAACCACGGCTGTATTGCCTTTGATCACGCAGCAAAACATTCGTAGCTTTTTTAATTGGCCAGCTTAAATTTTTTCAAATTTGATACTTCAACAGAAAAAAAAATGATTTGCTCACACCATTATATCTTCTCTGCGTCTTTTAATGAAGGCAACAATTATGATTATGATTCAGATCCTCTGATTATTCAGTGACAGAAGATCTCAAGAATAAAACATAGTATTCTTGTAGCTCTTCTTAGTTCAAAATGATCGGAGTGCTGGCAATCAACCTTAAGAGTAAGATCTTAAACGAAAGCTTAAATTTTTAAATTTTACTGTATATCCTGACGTTGCAATATGTGGGCTAATTTTTCAGAACTTTTTCATACAGATTCACAGCACAAAACAGCAATTTCCATTTAGCTTATTGTGTAAGCAAATTTTCTACAACATGACAAAGCTCCTATTTATGTACCAAAGTTGGAGCAATATCAAAAAACACAAAAAAATAGATGGATGCTTTTTCAGCTGCAAGGGTGAAATTGTGAATTCCCCCATCCAGTCAAATCTGTGCAAAGTTTCATGTAAATCGTATGAACTTTTCTGGAGCTTCCTCTAAACGTGCCATGTTGTAAATTACCTCAAAATCAATTTCAATTTTTTTTTTCAATTTCTGTCAACCTTACGCATGCTTTCATACAGTTTATGCAAAATACTTTAGAAGTTTGCATCATGCCGAAACTTCAAGCAAGTTTGTTTTTCCTCTTATCATTTTTGAACAATTATTGAACGGAAAGTTTTAGCATTACTATCGATGTGACAATAACTGGAAAGTTAATGAGAAAAATTCAAACAAAATTAAGGATTAATATCAGTTTTTTTTTTTTTTTTGGAAGTTGAGTAGGTTCCCAGAAAACTTTCATGCAAGAAAATGAGAATCACAAATGAAGCGCTGGGTGCAAGAAGGGCGCTTCTCAGTTATGATGATCTCTGGTAACATTTCATACATTACAATCAAAGGAAATGTATGTGATTTGTTGGAACTGCTTGATACTCTTGATGATATTACAATGTTTAAAACTAATAATTTAAGAAAATTTGCCCGAAAGTATCCTCTCTGAAATATAAATTAGCAGTGAAGGGTCTGAAACACTGCGACTGAGAATTAGCCTTTCTGCACCCAACGCATCAAATACAGTTCTGAGTTCCAGAAACTATTGGGATATGTTCATACACATTAAAATCCTTGTGTCAGCTGTTTATCAACCTACAAGTTGTAGTAGCACACCATTACCATAAATTTTTCTTGTCATGAAAATATAATGAATTTAATTCTATAAAAAGGGCTACATGGACAAATTGTTGCGGAATTGTATCTACTGTGTCATCATGAGAAATTCCATGGAAAGTTGTCAATCGAAAATTGATTTTTAAGTTGGTGGGCCTTCTTTTCTTGTCACCTACTACATATTTTGTCGAATAATAATTTTGTAAATTATAATTGACAATGTTAAGTCAACTTTTTCTCCGTTTGAGCATCAGTTTCTCATGAAATTCACGTACAAATCTATTTTTATATTATAAATAATGAATGTTGCTCTTCTTTTTTCAGGCCGGATAAAGTTGGCACTGTGACGCACGAAGAGAAGGACAAGTTCCAGGAAATCAAAGAACGTCTTAGAATCCTTTTAGAAAATCAAATCACCAACTTTAGGTAGGGATTTTCCTATCTTTTATTTTACTTTATTTTTATTTTTACAATGTACATAGCTATCACACAAGTGAGGTGATACATGTTAGATAAGTGCAGGATAATAGTAGATACCTGATACAAGACACAGATACAAGATACAATAAAGTAGAAAAGTAATCCAAAATTTTAAAATTGGCTATCGATCAAGTGAATCATAATTTACTCATTCAAGGAAAAAGACTAGAGGTTCGAAAAGCCTTGTGGAAAATGAATTTATTTGTCAGTAGCAAAACCCGTTTTCTAGCAAAAATAATTTTGACCAGACAAAAATTATGAAAGGCGTAGCTAAAAAGAGAGTTACTTATGCTTAGATAAAACTATATAGTCTTGCTGCTTTTTGATCGACCCTGTTCTTGCAAATCAGACAAAACTAACATTGAAAGACTGGTTTTGCCAGTGCATATTAGTTTAAACTGTTCTATGATGTGAGGACAGGTTAGATTCAACTTGATTGAGCCTAAAAATATAAATAGGCTGGAGGATCGCAGCTCTTTTTGGATGAATAGTTGTTGGCAAGGAGCGTTCGGAGGATGATTGAACATAATTTTTAGCAACTTTTTTAAGCTTAGAAGTAGCTGTTGCTTACATTATTTTCTTAATGTTTTAATTTTGTTTCTTTGAAAGTTTAACTTTTTCTTCTTGATTCCAGGTTTTGTTTTCCATTTGGAAGGCCTGAAGGATCTTTAAAATCAACTTTGTCCCTGTTGGAAAGGGTGAGTAGCCTTATTTTAAGATTATGTAACCATCTAAAATCCATGTATCTAACTAAAATTTCTTATTTCTCATACGTAAGGTTTTAACAAGGCTTGTTCTTTCATCTTGTGATTAAAATTGGAGTAAAGCAGATTCAACCGAAATTAGCCTAAATACATCAGAAGTTCGCCAATTTTCTTTGATGTTTCATTTTTTTTTTAAACAGAAAACTAACCTAAGCCACTCTGAAACTTGAAATTTTGTGAATATTTTCTTCATACTGCAGGGTACTGGAAGACCCTAGGCGTTAAGTTGTTTTGTTAAGTAGTTCTCTGTTAAAAATAAAAATGAAATATGAGAGATAATTCAGCAATGTGAAATGCAGTAGGAGTAATTCCACTTGAATCTATCCATTTAAGGTGATTTGATGGACGCCATATTTTGTGTCAGAACGGCATGCGCATCAATTGGTTCCATTTTTTCAGCTACTCGTTATTTTTCTCCAATTTTGAGATTGCAATTCTGTTGTCAGGGGAATAAAGCACTCATTTACCAATTTTAACAAAGAAATTCAACGTAACAAAGGCATGGTTTTTTTAGAGAGAAAATATCGCATTCGATACTGATATCGAAACTGCACTTGAATGCAATATTTTCTCTCTAAAAAAACCACGCCTTTGTTACGTTGAATTTCTTTGTTAAAATTGGTAAGTAAGTGCTTTAGTCTCCTGACAACAGAATTGCAATCTCAAAATTGGAGAAAAATGACGAGTAGCTGATAAAATGGAACCAATTAATGCGATATATCGTATGCCGTTCTGACACAAAATGTGGCGTCCATGGAATCACCTTAATAGGGATATTTTATGACAATATCTCCTATTTTAAAAAAAACTCAAAAACAAGGAACAGGTATCACATTGGACTATTGATGATAAAAAGAACTTCTACTCAATTACCCAAACACGGATTTAATTATCCAGGTTGGAAGTATTTTAGCCGTGTGAAGCGACTATTATCAGTGACATGATTTTTCATCATAAAGTTTTATCTTACCCTCCTCGTTTGTTATGATGCTCTTTAATTTCGCACATCATAACAGTATTTCAGTAGGTAGTTTCTCTCTGCCAGCAGAAAATGTATAATTATTTTTAAGCAAAAATTCGTTTTGTACTGAAATTTTTCCTCTGAAATTTTTCTCCAGGTATTAATGAAGGATGGTGTCACTCCTGTGCCTCTTGAAGATGTTCGCGGTGTAATAAAGAAGTGCCTCGAATCTGCTGCCTTGGTCAACTACACGAGGCTCTCTGCGGAAGCAAAAATAGAAGGTTTACATTCTGTTTAAACCTCTTTTTGACAAGTCAAGAAATGCACCAATATAATTTCCCTGAATTAAGTGAAAAACATCCTAGAATTGAGCAATTTTTTTGAATATTTGCCTTCGGTGAACTGTGTATAAACAGGGTGTCTAGCATCAGGAAAAACTGGAGAAACCGGAAAATATCAGGAATTTTGGCCGATCAGGAAAATATCAGGAAAATCAGAAAAATCGGACGTTTTATCAGGAATTTTTAGTACGCAAATCTCCTCAGCGGAGAAAGTCTTACTGTCTTTTGCCTACTGTGCCAGGAGTCAAGAAAAATCAGGAAAATATCAGGAATTTTCAAAATGAAAAAATCAGGAAGTTTTTATAAAATATCAGTAAGAATCAGGAAAATATCAGGATTTTTCAAAATTAAAAAATACCTGACACCCTGATAAACAAATTCCAGTTTCTAGATTATTCAGAAAAAAAAAGGAAATCAAATTTTGGCAAGAATTATCATTTCCTGAAATTCAAATTTCCCATTCAAGAAGACTAGGTTGCAAAAATTATTTTATTCTTGACTTTATCTGGGTTTTCTAGCTCTAAGTAATTTTACGCTCTAGTATGGGACGATCCATAATTGTATAGAGGGTATTCTCACGGAATTGGGTCAATTAAAGAGAGATTAAATTTTAATAAGGTGAACATTTAGGAACATTTTCTAGCATTGCATAAGCAAGTTGCAAGTTTTGCGGTTCAATTTTGGGTCAAAAGAGGGATTAGTGTTGCATTTCTTTTAAAAAAAATATCCACCCTTGTATGAAATTTTTACCTCAGAACTACATCTTTCGAATTACAAACCTTCACCAGTCACAACCTCGGTTTAGTCTTGACATTTTTGGGCATTTTTTGTGTCAACATGTACCTGTTGACGTTTGTGTGCAATCATTAATTTTTATCCTGAATTTGCATTGATTTTTCAGATGATTTGAATGGTGAGAACATCGTATCCCCAAGCAAGAAACTTGAAGATCTAATCCACCTAGCTGAACTCTGCGTTGACTTGCTACAACAAAATGAAGAACACTACGCTGAAGTAAGTAAATGTTTGCATAGCTGTGATTTTTAATGTAAATCTGTTTTTGGTCATCCATTGTGAAGGCAGAATGAATTCTCCTGTTCTCAAAACAACGCATTTATGACGAGGAAGTCTATCTATCATGGCAGATTCAAAATTAAACTTATCTATCATTGAGATGCATGAGCCTCTAGACAAGGTATGAATTTCATGAATCACATAACAGGTACCCTAAAAATTAACCTCTAAATAAGATAATAAAAAAAATTAGCCCACATCAGAATTGAATCAGTGAGTTCGAAAACACACCAACTCGGGTTTTTTTCGATTTTCACTTTTTTACGGTTTAGTAACACTTATGGATAGGAGCATCTGCACGCAAGAGGAAATTTCGAAATTGCAATTGGAAGTGCTCAAAACAGCGACGGGAAAAGGGTAGAATCAAAGTATTTCATTGCAAATACCAATTTTTGGCCATTTCAAGGAAAACGGGTGACCATCCGATTTTGTGGTTTTCTTTTTTCGGTTCAGTATACCTTGCACCAACAAGTTATATAAATATTCAAGAGTTATTCAGGTCGAAAAATATAAATTTTTCAGGGCAAAGTATGAAAAATCAATATCTGAAAGTCTGTGAGAACAAAAACACACCGACTCGGAAATTTTTAAACGCTTAATTCTCTGTCATCAAACATGGTGTATCGATTTCAACTTGGTGCTTTACAAAGTCTTTAAGTACTTGTCCTTTGGCACCTAAAAGGTTTTTCTTAAACTAACTTTATCGCCCGCTGCGCAGTTTTAGGTGTTTCCTGAACAATTTTTTTTTCCGAGTTGGTGTGTTTTCAAATTCACTGATTCAATTCTTCCATCAAAAAGTATTCCAAAATTCGAGTAGACATTGGTTTTTGTAAGCGGAAAGTTAGAACTGAAGTATGAAAATACCTTATTTTTTCACCTGTGAATTTAATTTGGAAAGTTTCAATGCGTTCATGGTATTCCAAGTAAAATTTCGATACAGCAATGTGTATTCTGGTGCTTAATTTCGTACCTGATCTAGTGGTTCATTATTCCTCTTTGCTAAGCTGCCTGTTCAGATCAACTCCTTTTGTGTATATGCGTTCAAATACTACTTGCAGCTTCCCCCAAAATTGCTTGTGTGTTTTATTGTTGTACGGTGTAATACAAACAGTTTCTGTCAGACGCACAAGTCATTTCGGCAGAGATAGTTTGTTCGCTATTATGCATTAGATTGGTATAAGCTGACTGTTCTCATGATGTAGGGAGAAAGTTTTTTGAGCGCTATTTTTTCTCGGTGAGGTAAATCTTTTTCAGTATTGACTTCAGCAGCTTCCTGACTTGCTGGTATCAGCATTTTTATAGATGAACCAAGGAGCAAATCATCTTGTCAGGGAGGTCTAAAAATGTGTACTTCTAATTTATTTTTTTATAGGAGCGCAAAACAACTTAATTACTTAAAATTGTCCTTCAATATTCTTCAAAAATAATTGGAAATTCATTGAATTTTTCAATAAATTAATAGATTACTTTTTCAAACAAAAAATACAGTATTTTAAGATTATATAGTAGCAGAGATGAAAGTGTTTTCGAGTTTAGCCATCAATATCTGTTTAAGAGAAAATAAAGCTCAAGAAGCATTTCTTCCGATCAAAAGAATATTCGATTGAAACCGAATTTAATGACCCATAACCCAGCTAAGAAACCATCTCTGCCTGAAACATGATAACTAATCAATTAACGTGGATCTTGATGTGAACTTGAATTTTTGGAGTTTTGACTTTCCGAAGTCTTCCATGTTTCATCGATGGAAAGAAATTGGTTTGCCATCACGTCAGGAAAACATGAGCACCACAGTAACACACAGAATGCAGCATTTTAATGTTTTTTGTCGATCGATATTATCTGTTCCGTTCTGGTGTAATAGCTTTAACTGTCTCAAGAATTCTCTCTCTGTCCTGCCTTCATCTTCAATTTTCTTCTTCGTTAATGAATGTTTTTATTTATTAATTTTCTGATTTTTTCTCTTTTCTCTAAATTCACTTTTGAGCACTTATCTTCTATTTTAAATGCAAGTTTAAGAGTAGTCATCGGAGACACACACACAGAGTATTTTTGCTAAAGAAGACCTCTTAATAAATCACAATTGATACTCGCAGACAGAAAACTTTTTAATTGTTTTTTTTTTGTCTTTTTATAAACAAAATCGACCCCTCCCGCTATCTTGAAATCGAAAAAGTACTATGCTTTTGGTACAAATCATGAAATTCCTCAGTCATTTCGTTTCTTATATAGAGCATTGAAAAAAATTCCTATTATTATTAATTTTGAATTTTAAGTTATCTTTCAAAGGTAAATAAATCTCAGTGTTATAAAACTTAGTAAGTATTGAGATATTAATATTGCTTAGGACCAGACTAGCGTTTTGAAGTTTGAAAGGTGTCCAATAAAAAAATTGAGTTTTGATAAAGAACCACTAACAGTGTCAATCTGCAATGGTCAACGCTCAAAATTATTGGATTTAAATCCAACTTTCCACCTGTTACTGACACAGAAATGAACTAAATCATTGTGACAAAATTATAAGACACTGTATGAAAGTCTGTAATGTCAGTAAATCAAATGCTGATTTTTCTTTGACAATAATTGCTTCCCTAGAAAATTGCCTCTGTTTCCTACGGATCCGTTTACCTCAGATTTTCTTCAAAAGAAATCAAGGGTCATTTTAAAAACAACAATGATTAAGTGCTGAAGTGCGGTCGTTCTTATAATGTTATCTATTCAGTGGACTAAACAACCTTACAAACTCTTCAATTCACTTCAAGATATCCAACTACATTTACAGTATTAAGCAGTTTTTTTTTTTTTTGTGAATCGAACTCTATATTTTTGCATGACGTTTGTGACATGTTATTCGTTTTATTGATGTTACTTGTTTTTTCTCTTTCTTCTGTCTTATTCTCCTCTACTTCTCCGTTTGTTGTGTTGGCTGTCTCCTACTCATTCAGGCTTACAGATCGGTGAGTGTTGGTTCTTCCTGATACTCCCCAAATTTTAAATTTTACGATCAGTTTTGAAAACTCAATAGTTCTCTCATATCTGGTTTTTTTCTTTCCTTTTTTTTGTCCCTCTACAAGTATCAAAATCCCCCTTCAAAAAAATTGGGGAGAAACAATAATTTGAAATGATCAACAATCCTGCGCAAAATTATTTAGAAACTTTGGAAAGGTCAAATACTACAAAGCTTTGTTTAAAGAAAAGGGGTTAAAAGTAACTTCATCTTGTACATTCCTCAATAGGCTGCAATTTGGAAGCCAGCTGAAGTTATCATCTTAATAGTAAATTTCGACAGAGCATTAGGTTAAACTCCATTCATCATGTTCTTTTTCAACTGGTTCTACTTTTTGTCGCCCTCATCTTGAAGCTGCTACTATTTTTTTAGGCAAGTGTTTTGCGCAATCTGTTTAATCAATCCTCCCAAGGCGATCATCTTTCACAGATGAGCAAAAACCTGTATTAATGTAAATTTGTCAGCAGTCAAAGCGTGGTGAGATTTAGCAAGTAACATTTTTTCCAAAGTCCTCGATCTGAGATTTTAAAAACAGATTTGTGGAATTCTTGAGGATGCAAAAAAACGTATGCGCAGAAAAATGTGTGCCAGAAATTGAAGATAGTGAAACTACAAACTACAAAACATGTTTAAATTGTATGGTGCTTAATAATTAATGCTCCTCCATAATTCAGATAGAGGATCTCTGCCATGTAAAGAAAAATTGCACATAGTTTCTTGTTGAGTTATATTGATTTTTTTGTTCAAACAAGGATAATTAAAGATTTATACCGTGCTGCAAGCTCCCTTTATGTATTGTTTTTTCCCATAAGCGTGCTGCTGCTGCTCCTTCTGGCAGTTAAAAATAAAATTTAAATTATTACCAACGCTGATCTCGTTTCTTCAAAAATACAGTAAAGCATTCTTCAATAATATTGAGAGGGTACTCCTGTTCAAATTATAATAAATTATAATTTGTATCTAAATGTCCAGGATTTTATCCTTTAGAACGTTACACACAAGATCTGCCAAGATTTGTTCGGAGGTTTTTTTTTTGTATTTTTTTAAACCCCCAATTTCAAATCATTCTTGGAGATCTTCTAATTGATATTTTAAAGAAGGCGATTATATCATCTAATTAATCAGCTGATGCCCTACTAAGTCACCAAAAAAATTTAACTTTTTTTTCATAATTTTTTGGATCATATCTGAGCCAGAGTACCCTCTCAATATCAAATCTTGTCATTTAAAGTTTACCTTTCTCTTGTTATGCTCATTTGATGTCACATATCTCATGCGATTCTTTCAATTTTTTCTCTGTTGCGCTCTTTCTCTGTCTCCTTCTTGTTTCGCACGTATCTTCATGATTGGTGTTAATCAGGACAAAGTGAGTACTGCTGTTACAATGTTTCGCTTTAGCCTTCGCTTTCTCTCGACCCCTCAACGCTTTGTCATTTTACTGTTAATCGTAAATTGTGTTCTCATAGTGTTTTAGTGCTAATTTGTCCTACAAAAGATAAGTTTGTCCCATCTCACCACAGTTTTTTCACCGTTTGAACTCACATCGTTGTTTTACCTTTTTAACCCTGCAGAAATCGACATTTCATATAGTCCACAGGGTATCTATTGGTCCAAAAAACCTGGGGAAGGAGTTTTTTTACGGTGGGATTGGAAATACCTAAAAATTCCATAGATTTTGTTAAAGTTAAAGCAATCAGTGGCGTGGCGTGAATTGCGATGTATCGATTGTTATTCCATTTAAATCTATGGTAAAGAATCGATTATGAAGCTGTTCACTGCGAACACCCTGTTTATCGATCCATTTTCATAGTTTTATATGGCATAACAATCGATGTATCGCAATTCACGCCACGCCACTGAAAGCAATGAGGGGAATTTTTTGCAAAACCTTTTTGGGACTTTTTTATTCGGATAAAAGGCAAGTGTAAATTATTGCTAAGAAGTTCTTGAGAATCACGCCTCGTTTAAAAGGAAAAGAGTCTTAATTTTTGTATTTCTCAAGGAAGTGTATTTAATTTTCTAAATGGATCTCAATTGACATTCTATCCTTCCTGCCATGTTGAATTGATGGCCATCCTTTAAATCTTATCGTGCCTAAGCTGCCTTAAAATATTTCAGATTCTCCTTGAACAATGCAACTTTCATTGAAATTCATTTCAAAAAAATCCACAACTAGTGCATGATAAAATGTTTTTAATTAGTCAGGGAGTACAGCACCTAATCAAATCTTTCTCCCTCTAATTTGAGCAGAAATGGTTCCTGTATTTTTGCTTCGGCTCCTTTAAATTTCACTCAGAGAACACAAATATTTTTCATTGGACCCTCCTGGTCCAACGATTTTTTAAAAAGCTTTCTGTAGTTCAGCCCAATAATCAAGATTTCTTTTTTTAAATATCTACCATCAATTTTTTTGTGCTCCCCTCTCTCTTATTTTTTTAAATAATCTTAAACTTTTGGAGCAAAACCTTTCTAACACGACTTTCATGGAATTGAACTAAACTTTGCGTTTTTTAATTTACGCATCCTGATCCCTTGGTTTGATAATAAAGTGAAAAAGTATTTGCACGGAGATGGCATCAATATTTGGAAGTTTGACTGTACTTTGTTAGGCTTAGCTTTTCAATCACTAAACGGTAACGTTGCATGGTGTCAACAAATCCAAAATATGATCAATGCTAAGACTGAGGAAGAGACTACGAAAGAAATTCCCAAATTCTTGCTTTATTTGAAGTAGAAAGTAACAATTGGACCACCTTTGGCAGAAAAAAACCAAGCTACATCAGATATTGCCAAATTTAGCTGAGCAATGTAATTTTTTACAAGGAAACGTTTGTGAGGATTTTTTTTGAAATTTTTGAGGATTTTGCTGTGTACTATGCAGAATATTCCCTGAAATTTTCTTAAAAAGATCTGCACAACCAATTTCATGTAAAAAATTAAATTGCGGGATTAAATTTGACAATAGCTGATGTTGCTTGGTTCCTTTCTGCTTAACACGGTTCAATTAATGTTAAATTGTTAGTGCAAAAGTGCTGGCGTATTCTTGAAACAGCGATAAAACGTTTTTTCAGCATGTGTTATGCAATTAACCATTGAAATTTGTGTTACAAACAGTCCAATTCATCCCTGATTGTACTTTTTTTATGACTCTCATTTCTTTTTTTTTCTTTCAGGCCTTTGCGTGGTTTAGTGATCTACTCGTAGAACATGCTGAGATCTTCTGGTCCTTATTTGGGACTGATATGGATCAAGTTCTAGCTGAGCAAGCTCCGGATACCTGGGATTCTTTCCCTCTTTTCCAAATTCTAAACGACTATCTTCGAGCGGATGGTGAGCATCATAGATTTGAATGTTGAAATGTCTCTCTCTTCAATCTTGTATTCCTCAGCCAAGTTATAATACAGAATGTGGGTTATGTGATGCAATACTACCGTGTGAAGGAAAAATTCATCATAAACCGTCATGCATTGCCAAATTTCTTTTGATGAAATACGAATTTATAGAGAAAGTTTTAAATCTTTTTCCTCCAATTTTTTGATAAATCTATTTGCCAGTTTAATCTCAAATATCAGAAAGTTTCGAGGCAAAATATGCATAATTTTCTTCTGAAATAAATTTTTTATCAGGAGAAATTTAGCAAGTTTTGAAAAATGTTCATACGGGATCTTTCCTTAGCATAGCAAAATAGTCCTCAGGGAAACCCATCGCTCAAGGTTTTTCCACCAGGGAACAAAGAGTCTGCCTACGGTTGAACAACCAACCAAATGACTACTGCGAATTTGTCACAGTGGATTCATGCAACTTGTGGGTGATTTGACGCATAGGGGATTTGAAGTAACTTTGCCAATATTTTGGAACAAAATTTAAAATTATGCTGGGAAAAAGAATGATTTTGATTGAGTGAGAAATTTCATCATGTGAGCATAAAAATTCTGTTCTAATGCCTGTTTGCATACTGAGAGTTGACTGTTTTTAATTCGTTTTGATCCCAATGCATCGTTCTAAATGCATGCTTCCTTTCACATATGTACTCATATAAGTCCCCATCACTACCCTACTTCATAATTATGTCTTGCTTACAGATAATCTGAGGAATGGTCGATTCCATCAACACCTTCGAGAAACTTTTGCGCCTTTAGTTGTAAGATATGTTGATTTGATGGAGTCATCTATTGCTCAATCGATTCATAAAGGATTTGAAAAAGAACGATGGGAAATCAAAGGGTAAGTTATCGAAACTCATGAATTTTAATTTTATGGTTTACCGGTAATTAATGACCCTTTGAAGGATCTATTTGTTGAAAAATTCAAATTTGACTTATTGGCATAACTGTTTTCAGACATTTTTTACTAATATTTTTACGCTAAATGTCCAAAGATGTCAGACTCTAATGGAATTATTTTGGTTTGACTTTTGCAGTTTAAAAAGCGCAGTTTTGAAAACTGGTTTTTTTAAAGTTTTTATTAGTCATAGTCAGGGCTCAAAATAGCGGGGTCATAATGCATCTTTTTATCCTCAATCAGCAAAAAAATCAAATTGAATTGGATCTTCAACCTTTTGCAGAAAAACATATCGATTGATCGATCAATTGATAATTTCTTGATTCTAGGACATTCATCAAAAATCTCGAAGCATCTTAACCTGTGGGTATTTTTCAGGTATTTTTTCACAAGATTTAATGGAGACACACTTTGAAACAACTCCAAAATACATCCCAAGTGAATATTGCACATTTTTTTGCCCTCTGATCTGAGATATTCTTTCAGGAGCACTTATGAAGTTATTTCAAAATGTTTTTCGGTCAAATTTTATGTAAAAATACTCCATAAACTCCAGCAGGATGCACAGAAAGTTTTGAAGAAATATCCTAAAATCCAAAGTTACTAATTGATTGATTGAATATAAAATCGTTCTGTTTAGTACTGAAAATCCATCTTAAAGGTAGTAAAATTATTTTTTGAGGTTCTGAAGAGTGTTTAAAGCAGAAAACTCAGTTTTTTTCTTTTTACTAAATTTGATAGAGGTCATTCGACGAAACTTCTTTTTCTTGTGATTGATCTTATTTTGTCAAAACAAGAGATTGTTATTTTCAAGGAGAAATGGACCGTTCAACCAGTCGCAAATTTTCTCTCGTCAAAAATTCAAAGTCGAGAATGAATTTTTTAAATGTGTAAATTGTTGATAAACTTTTGTCCAAGTATAGACTCGTAGAAGAACAAAACTTTGAACTCTTTTTTGTTTCAAACTTGATGCGACTTAATCCGTTTCTGTAAAGCTTGGTCCAAACTGTTTCTGCACTACAAAAAGAAAAATTTTACAATCCTCCTCATCAAGCGTCAAATTTTCAGTGATCCCAGAGTCATTATGCAAAAGTTTTCTCTGAAATTTAGATCTAATTTTTTCTTGTTTTCCAGGAATGGTTGCGCAATATCAGAAGACTTATTTTGGAAATTGGATGCCTTGCAATCTTTCATTCGGGATCTTCATTGGCCTGATGCCGATTTCCGAGTCCATCTTGAGCAAAGACTCAAATCCATGGCTTGTGATATGATCGAGTCTTGTATTCAAAGGTAAACTAATCATATGTCAACGTATTTATCATAATCTTCAAATGTCTTTAATGTTAACAAAAAGAAAAAAAATCTCCTTTCTTCAGCAAAAATTGTCTACTCAAGCAAGCTTTTGAAATCTAGCTTTTGAATCTGTATCAGTTTCTTGACTGATTTTGTAATTTATCCAGTAGGACATTAGTGCAACCTTTTGTGAAATCTATTAAGGCAATTTGAAAAACCTGGAAAGTCAATGAATTCATGGAGAAAACTAGAAAATTTTACGAGTAGCCTATAACCTCAGCAACTTTGTTCAATTATCTCTAGTAAATAAAAATGTCCATAACTAAAGTCGGTGTATTTAATTAATAAAAATATAAATGGAAGTTTTGTTCAAAGGCCAGAGAAAGTCAGAAAATTCGGTTATTTTGGAGACAGGGAAAAGCAAAGAAGGTCGGGGAATAGGAAAGTGAAAAAATTATGAAAACCCTGAATTCATGACTCTTGGAAAAGACCTTAAGCGTACTTGATTATTTTTTTTTAAATTTCAAGCCGCCAAATATCTTCATATTTTCACGAATTGTCTAATTTGATTGAGAGTTCTTGAGTTTTATATAACCAAGTGATTTTTTGCCCAACGGTTAACAAAGATTGGCTGGCTTATTTCATTCTTTTGCAAGGAAAACCCCCAAATAGCGAATATTGCTGCCTGTATGTCATTGATCCCAGCTTTTTATTTTAGGAGTTGAGAATTAAAGTACATAAATGCAGAGGGAGTTCCAATTTCTAAGACATTTCTTAAGGTTGTTGAAGAAAAATTTAGATTTGTGAACGTCCCTCTGAAACTTTCAGAACTCTTTAAATAGTTCTCGATAGTCCTTAATTTTTTTTTGCTTTTCCTCCAGCAGTCTTTGACTTTTGAGGGACTTCTGTTTCAAAACACTTCCTAGGATCTAATAGATTTCAAGAGTCCACAATAATACTGTTTATATAAATGGATAAAATTGGTTCTTCTTTATCAAAATACCCTTAAAATGTGCACTATCTAATCCTATGCTTAAAATTTATAGAACTGAAACAGCGTATCACCAGTGGTTGAAGAAAGGGGTGACGTTTATCTCAACTGATTACATCATCCCGTCAGAGATGTGTGCCATGATCAATGTCATACTCGATGCGAAAAATCAATCTTTCAAACTTTGCTCAGTCGATGGTGTGGATATCGTGAGTATCTTGCAAGTCATTTGATATATCTCTTAAACTCATAAACTTAGGGAGAGTTTGCCTTTTGCTTATTTATCTAGATTTTGCTAACAGTCACTAGGCGTCTTCTAAAATACGCACTTATTGTTGAGGAAGGAATAGAAACACTCATTCGAATTTTGGTGGTTTGAAGGCACCGCTCACATTTTATTTTTCAAGAAAGTATTTTTTTTATATCATATAGCATGAAATGCATAGAGTAAACATTTGAAAAGGTGAGGAAAAACCATACAATATTTAATTCAATGAAAATGATGGTCTATCGTCTGGAAAAGTAAAATATCATGGAAAATCTGCAGCATTCCAAGTGGATGGAATGAGCAATTAGGTAGAAATATAAACTAGAAAAAAACTGCATGTTTTCTCCTCAAAATCTTACGTAGAAAAAAATTCAAACAATCGGAAGTTTGGAAATCGAATCCTTCACTAAATTTGAACAAGTGCTTTTGACTTGAATAAAATAAAGGACAGATTGTCATACAAATGGCGTCATTTTTGTTTTTGCCCTTGAACCAATGTTGATTATTAATGCTCATATCTCGTAAAGGGGTTGATTTCAAGACTCCTCATACTGTGAATCGTTTTCGTCGTGAAATGTTAAAGAGAATATATATTGTATGGTCCTCTATTTGGCCCCAGGTCAACAGAAACACCCCAAGTCGCATTTTCGAAAAAAAAAAAAACGAGTCTGGAGTAATTTTGAATGCAACCAATTGACAATGTTGCAAGTCAAAAATTCAGAATCAAGATAAAATATTTTTGAATTCGAAAACAGTTGCTAAAATTTGCTTTACCGTTGAGTCTTATGGAAGAATAAAACTTCAAATGTCTTTTTTTCTTTCTTCTTTTCCTTTTCTTTTTTTCAGTCAGTGAAACCACTCACACCATGATATTTGGGGCACTACAGAGCATTTACTGTTAAAAATTTCTATATACTGATTTTTCAACATTCATCTCCCCATCGAAGATTTTGCCTTTGTAGAATTAGGTCACTTCTTTGGTGGACGTGTTTCCTTCTTTCTTATAGTTTTCTTAGTTTCAAATCAACACATTTATTGTATTTCTCAGTGAATGAATGTCAATGGTAGGAGGCAAGAAGTAAATTCTAATTTTTGAAAAACTGGACTCGAAGAAAGTTCTGAAGATATAATTTAGAATGCTCGCTCAGTAATCCAACAGTTTCAATACTTTCTGTCTGTCGGCTTCAATCATTCCTTCATGATTTTTTTCTCTATTTCAGTATAAGTTTCACTCTAAAATTGACGATCAGATCGAAAAAGCGACTGCAAACATGACTCAAGGATTAATCAGCAAGTTAGTTTCAGTATTGGAAGCAACATTATCGAAGTTGTCCCGATACGATGAAGGAAGCCTTATTGGATCCATTTTAAGTTTTACGGTGAGTTTTCCTGAGTTTAGTACAGTATAAGAAGCATTCTCTGGAACTAAAATATGATTTTTTATATCCATGGCACTTAAAGGCTTCAAAAAATGGATTTTATTTGCTCAAAGGAGCATATAGCTTAAGTTGAGAAATGTGTATCTTAGATTGGTTGCTGTAAGTGTCCAATCTAGTCTTATTCCTTTTAAAGGAAAACTAAGTACTAACCAGCCCCTTCTGTTGATATTAACCATGAATTTTTCTTGCTGTTATAACAAAATCACCCTAAATTGCAAGGAAACATCAGTTTTCTTCGAAGGAAATACATAAAACAGAATCGAAAGTTTTTAAATGTTGCAATTGAGGTACACATTTTTTGCATCCAGTCAGCAATGTACATTTTTTAGAAGGATGAGAGACCTAGTGTGCAGAAAACTCCTAATCTTGTAATTCCAGAAAGCAGTATTTTTGCTTTTTTTCTAACAGTCGAACTTCTAACCCCTCAAAAATTTCTACGGACTAGCTTGATCTCCTTTACAAATTTTTCCCAATATATCATATTTTTCGCAAATTTTATGCGTAAATCTCTTCAATTTATTTAAGAAAATCGTAACTTTTTGATAAATTCATCCAATCTTTGCAATCTGCTGATATCAAGTTCAGGCATTTTCTGGTCTTCAGAATACTAAGATAAAAAATAGAGAAAAATTTCTATTTAAGTATTTCGATGGCAAAAGTGTGAAACCACATATATCTGTTTGTGACAACGCAGACTTCTTACTGTACTTTATTTTTTCTTTGGAAGATTAGTAAACATAATTTCTCATAAACCTCCTTGATTTTGCTTCTTTGTTAGTTTGTAGAATATTCTGTAAACATTTCAAACTACTTATAAAGTTGGCCTGTTTCTCTTTGAAAAACTTAATAGGAGTAAAAATTTTGAAATGCGGCTATGGCGACACGTTGCTTTGCACTTTTCCATCAACTTATCCTTCTAATATCATATCTTTCTGTTATGTGTCTCACCTCAACATATTTTTCACATTAATTTTTTTTTCTTTTGCAATTATAGAATGTTTCAGGTTCTGGGAAGGAAATGGGCCAAGCATATGTAAATTTTACCCGGAACTGTATGGATCAAATCAGAAGTAAAGTTAACGATGAACTTTGGATTCTCAACTTCTTTGAGGTAAATATAAAATGTTCAGCTTTCGTATTAAATTACTGTGCAGAAGCTCGATGATTGCCGCTCCACAAGCCGCACGTTGTTTTTAGGTCAGGAGATCCATTTTCTGACATGAAATCCCTAATTCAGTTAATTTTAAAAAATTGATGAGTTGTGTTTGAATGTACCTGCTATACTTACATCAGTTTCAAGCAAATTAATCTGTATTCAAATCCTGGTTTCATTTTCCTGGGGTTCTGATTGAATTTCTTTTTGTAATGCCATTTTTAAAAATTATTTTAAAAATAATGGCAGGCATAGTTCACTAAAAATGTTCAAATTTTGCATTCAAATTAGTGCAATAGATGAACAGTACATTGTGCTCTGAATAACAATTTGAAATTTTAATTAAAATGTTGCTGTCAAGTGCGTATCAATAGTAAAACTGCAAGTTTTATCGCAAAAGTATCTCTGTTTGTGACGCTGTAGTTTAAATTCATTTTCCTAGTGGAGAAATTGTCAATAGCATTTCTTGAAAATTTTCCTGATTTTTCTTCTCTGCGGGCCGATTATTGAAAGTTTAAAGCAGCCCGATAAGACATCAAATTGTGATATATTGCATGGTTAAGATAGGGCTATGTCTTGTCGTGTCGGGCCGACATAGTTTCAGTAATCGGGCCACTGTTAGCAGAACACTGTGTATATTTCAAACTGTGAAGGCAGCTGGTTTCTATCGAAAAAATAAAGTAAAATCGCCAATGTCATGATTAAGAGACTTGGCCCAGTAAAAGATTCTAGCCAAACACTCTTTTTTCACTTTGACACACTGCTACTCTCTTTCTCTAAGTTTCAAATCCAAATTTGTTTTTTCTGAAAGCTTTTATGTTCTATTTTAAAAATTATTGTGTGTTCATTTATCGTATTGACCTCTGAAAAATCAACTATGGATCTAATTTATGAATGTGCTCGTTGTTTTTTGCGTAGACCTGGTATACTGCCCAAGTCCAGCTCCTGTGTAATTTTCTTTCGGAGCGTTTGGACCACTCGCTTCATCCTTATCAGTGCACCTGCCTTGTTCAAATAAACAAGGTATGTAGATTTTAAGGATTTATTTTTTCAGACAAATTTTACAATTCCTGCTGCGTTTTTTTTTTTTTTTTTTTTTTTTTTTTTTTTTTTTTTTTTTTTGACGCAGAAATCATGCCTCTATGTGATAGCAAGAGTGACGTACTGAAGAAATGAAACTGATGGAACTTTCTCAGTTGAATCCCACACAAAGACTTCTGTTTTGAGCGTTCTCCACTTTAGTTGTGTATGCTCTTTCCTGTCGTTTCCCATTGGCTGTGTTAATACTACACCGTTGGTAAGGCCCGCGCTGCCCCATGGGTATCGTCGCCATTTTTTGCAGCGGGAAGCAACACCTATTTTCTCAATATTTTTTAGTTACCATTTCCACCTTTTTTCTGCTATCTTGTCCACTTTATGTAATCCTGGTAGGTTTGTCTTTGATAAATTTTTATTCTAACGTCTTGAAACTCAACAAAGTATTATTGTTTTATTATTAGTAATTATGTTTGGTGCAACATTTAAGTGTTAACTGTGTCTCAAGATGATGGTTTTCAGTCTTGCTGTTTTGCTCAATTGTTGACTCTTTTGGACACTTCTTTTTATGAAGAATGGAAGTTTGTCAAATAGTCTGTAATAAACATTGGAGTAACTTGTAGGTTAATGGAGGGATCCCCTCTGCTCATTAATGTTCAGCCTGTGTAGTCTTAAAATCATGCCTAACTTAAATTCTCAGAAAGGAAACAAAGCATGGGTTCCGCGGATCAATAGTTTTGAGAGATTTATAATGTTTTTATGGAAACCTCGGAGAAAAGTCAATGGTCTCTGATCACCTTTCCTCTAAAAATATCTTTTCAGCGACTTGATAAGTAAACTAACGTCCAATACGCTCTAATGCTTGTTTAATTTCCAGAAATTGTATCCTGATTTTGAACTGCAAGGGGTGATGGAAGACAAGTTGAATTCTAAAACGTATCAAACTATTGCTGCTCGGCTGCAGACGGAAGAAGCCACTTGTGCACTAACAATGAATACTCAGGGTGGAGATGAGTAAGCACTTTCTCTTTTAATCTGCCATACATTTAGATGCTGTATCCATTTAGGGATTTCAAAAAAAGACTTAGCTGTGTAATTGGTGGATTGCATTTTAGGATTGAAGTTTCGAGGCTAGATTAAGCGAACTAGATACGCAAATGTCTTCACAAAGAATTATGAAGCTGCAGAAAAAGACATGACCTGGCCTCAAAAAGAGAGAGGGTTTTTCTAAAAGTTCAGCACAGTAAGACATTGTCCCCTAAATATCACAAACGCCATTGACGACAAATTGGAATATAGAGAGACTTTTTGGGGTTTCAGACTTTTCTTGTTTAAAAATAACAATTGAGGGGCCTGGAGGACAAGGCACATAAGTGCAGTTTTTGCTATTTTGAGAAATGCGTGTTTGATGTTTCAAAATTACGTGGATCCTTATGGTGGAAAGCAAGTTCAAACTGACTTTATAATGCTTAAAAATTAGAATTTGGGAACATATTTTTCGTAGAATATGCATCAAGACTACTTCTACTCGGAATCATTAATATCTCAATTTTTTCAAAAACTGCACCTATGCGCCTTGTCCTCCAAGTCCCTCAATTGGACCACATTTTGCAATATGACTACATATTGCAATTTGGAACTATAAATTCTGGCTCTGTATAAAAACAAAGTATGTACCATTAGTTTCCCTATGCTCATAGGTGTTTTTTCTGATGAGCGAGTAATTGTAGTTCCAAATTTCAAAATGCAGTCCAATTAGGAATCACAATTCCTGGCTCAGTTTAAAAACAACATATGTATCATTAAGATATCCTATGGACAAATGTGTTTTTACCCATGAGCCAAAAATTGTAGTTCCTAATTGCAAAATGTAGTCCAATTCAACTGTCGAAAATTGTCACTTTTCACCTTTTGAAATGCACCTATCGTCTTATGTTTTATTTAAATTTGTTGAAGAAGTAAAAAAACAGTTTTTTACTATCACAGTGAGGTATATCAAGCGCAAAAATGGACACTTAAGTTGACTTTTCTCCTGAAATTTAATCTAAACCAGATGAAAAGAATAATTCTGAACATGTATCAAAAATTCCAAGTCTCTGTTGTGTTCATGACATCAGTGCTCAACTTTTTTGGTTTTACATTCATCTTATGGAGATTTGCGCTTGTGATACATCGGCCGAATTGTGACGACTTGTCATGTTGTATCAATCTAAGATTGCATCACACCAAAAGAATCTATCCACAGAAGAAATTCCTGATTTTCTTCGTCTTTGAATGAAGTCTCAGGTGAGTAAAGTGTCGTAGCGAAATCAGAAAGCTGATCGAGAGCTTTAAATGTGCTTAATAAAGTCTCGCTTAACATGAATGAAATCGTGTCGCACAGAAGAATTAATTCCTTTTTTCTTCTCAATTTTCTAGTGATTTCGGAGATGATGAGGATGAAGATAAGAAACCAAAAGTGACAATAAGAGAGACGCTCGGCGGTGAAGACAAGGACATTGTCGGAAAGGTATCCAACATCACGAGTAATGTTGTCGGCAAAGTGGGAAACGTCTTCGGCAAAGGAATTGGCGGACTTGCGAGTAAAATGGGAGGTCCAAGTTGGTTTTAAGCCCGTTATTTTCTCCAGGTTTGTTTTCCGTTTTGTTCAGTGATGAACCGCGGTTTTTGTTTTTTGCTTTTTCTTCTTCGTGAGGTATCACTTTCCATAGGTTTTTGCATTCTCCAATCGAATGGGAAAATCCTTGAAGCGAAATTCAATTGAAGGATGGTGGAGCAGATTTGATACGAGCAGACTTCGTAATAATCTCGATAAGTCGTCAAAATTAAACCAACTTTCTATTTGCTCTCGTGGTTTACGGTGGAAAAATTTTATTTCCGATCAGAATCAAATCTTGTGGAAAAAATTCAAAAGAAAGCTAACTTGTTCATCGCTGAACATCCGTTTTTCGAAATTTTCTTATCCAGCCAGAAGAGATGCCAGCAAAAAGCCAAATTCGAATCCTTCGAACCATGATATCCACCAATTGTCGCAAAGCTCGTGCTTTTTATCAGTCTTGTACATAAACTGGTACTTCAGGATTCGCTCTTTTGAGGACCTGTAGCCGGTGCCTCTATTGCACTTCAGCGAAATCAAAATGTTGGTCTCTGTGACAATTTTCGGCTCGGTGGGATCAGCGGTGAACGGTGAAAAAACATCGACAGTAGTAGATCGCTTTTTCATCGCCTTCAAGGCAAAAATTCTAAAGAAAGTGGTATCCTCTCTGAATTTTCATTTTTCATTTAGCTCTGAATGATCCACCTTAATTAATAAACTCCTCTCCTATCCTCCAAAACTTTCAAATTCGTTCAATAATCGTGAAGACTCACAAGAAGCCACTAAACGTTGCTGATTGTGTATTAATTTGCTAAGGCATACGAATAAATTTGTAAAAAAATAAATAGTGTAGCTAGTCATCGATATTTTTTTATTTATAGAGTTTTCTTAATTTTATAATGTCATAATTATTTAGAGACGCAAAATGAAGAAGAGTAATGTTTATATCGTTTGTGGTAAATTGCTATTTTTAAGTTTTTCCTCCTGTTTTTCTTTGATGAGTTTTGGTTACGTCCTTGCGGAAGTTTCTAGTGTCAACTTGCGATTCTGGTCTGAATTTTTTGGTGATATCTTGAGTGAAATTGTCCGCCTTGAATAATGAAAATCAGGGTGTCTAAAAGTCTGGAAAGTACGGTAATAGTACTGATTTTTTAATGGCGGTCCGGAAGTACTGAAAAAGTGCGGAATTTTGCAAGGAGGTCCGGGATTTTTCAATTTTTTGTCATTTTTGGTCGCAATTTGAGCGGGAAATTTAAATTTTTTAACTTTGCTGAATTTCGTCAATTGGAGGTACTGAAAATGTACTGAATTTTCTGTTGAGGAGGTACTGAATTTCTTGGGAATCAACTGAAAAAGTACCATAAAAGTACTGATTTTTGGCCAGCCTGTTTTAGTAGACACCCTGAAAATGCTAGTCTTTTAATTATCATAGCATATATAAGATAGTATTGCTCGCTAACCTCTAACCTCTAAACTTTGAGGAAAGATGCCTTCCAAAAATTCAGACCTATTTCTCTATCTTCTTAGTTTAATTTTCTTAATTATTGCAATTTTTTCATTCTTGGAAACTCTTTCAATCAACCCACCGTTTGTAGCTTAAACTTTCTCTTTGGGGTTGTGTAGAGCTTAGAGTGCTTTACATCTCCTTTGTATTAATTTAGTCGTCACTCTTAGTTTATCTACTTTCATAGCCCAACCTCTTCTCATATGTATTGCTCATATAAACTTATTCAAAGGCTTAGCGATGTTTCTGTGCAAAAAAGAAAAATATTAATTGAAATAAACATTGCATTTTCCTGACAATTTGTAAAGTATGAGGATTGTATATGCAGTAAATTTCTTAGTTTCTTTAATGTGCTATCATTAAACCAGTACGTTGATTGTTAGAGAACGCTACTGCCCTCCACAGTCAAGAATCTCAAACGCTACTCTTATCAAAATCAAGTTTGTGTGGTCTTAAATCAACCAGATAAATGTCAACGTTGTTTAATTTTTTTTTTTAATTTTCTGAAACAAGAATCAGAGTTATCAAAGAAAAATTTGGTAAAATAGCAAGCAGTAAAAGTAAGTGCTGCATTATCACAAGTTTACACCTTATATCTTGCTCAGAAGTTGAACCCGAACTTGAAGTTGTGTAAATTTTTCCCCTGTTCAGTTTTGAAGAGGAAATGTCAAGTAGTGATTTTAATCATTATTTGTCTGTTTTGCCATCATCAACATCTGTTCACTGAAATATTGATTATAATATTATCTTGGGCAATAATACTTTTTTAAAGTGATCTCAGGATTTAATCTGATGACAATTAATTGCTATGAATAAGAAAACAAACTTGATAAATGGTGAGAAGTTAAAAGTAATAGCCCACTAACAACACATTCTCTATTTTTTAACTTCAGTGGTTACTGAGGAGCAGAAAAATGAGGAAATTTACGCAAAATATGATCCTTATATTAACAGTATTATTCAATTTGTAGGAGTTCTGCCCCATATCTTTCACATGCTAAAAATTGTTAATCAAGTGTTTCTCTTTTTCTCTTTCATAAAACGCATGACTCCCAAAACACATTACCAATAGTTTAAGAATATTGTTAAATTTGATCCATTCCAACCAAAGTAAAATGTAACAGTTATTTTTGAGAATTTTCCAAAACTTGTTGTCTGAAGATTTTGAACTTCTATTTTTATGAACTCGTTTCAATGTGCACAACATTCATTGGACATTCGTTGAATTGTTCCTGCATGAGGCAATGATTTGCAGCGTAGAGAACATTATTGCTCAAAGGCCAGAAGAGCAAAGTACAAATGTTTTAACTTATCCATATCAAAATTGAAACTCGTTCCAGATATTACAGATTTGTAATTTAGTTTTTGATCAAAAAAGAGGACATTTTAAGACGATGGATGAACGTTAAAGTTATAAACCTCAGATGTAGATTATATTTTTTCTAGACATGTACTCTTATTTTATTACCAATCCGTCGGTGTGTTAATGATAGATTCTCTCATGGAAAGTTGTGTCAGGTCTCTGGGTAATCATTCCGTGAAAATCATATTGTATAGTCATTTGCTCATCAAGTGTATCCGTTTTCGATGATAGTCTCTAAATTATCTGGATACTGCTGGAAGGTGAAACTTATGATGAAAGTCAAGTGAAATTGGGAGAAAGTAGGACCATTTTTCGACAATTAAGATATTTTTGTCATTGTGTAAATCAATGAAATGTGTTAATAAACTTAATTTGTTTTACAACGTGGTATTACACATAGTCCATTCAATCAGTTAAGGGTCTTTTCTTTATGCAACTCTATCTTTGAAGTTTGGTATCTAGATGATGTTAGATAACTGGAAGACGGCCCATTTTGGAATAGCGGTATCTTATCGATTTTTACTAGACTGTCAAAATAGTTCTATTATGAAGTAGTAGCGACTGAAGAACCCCTACAGATTAACAACGGGAATTCTTGACCCTGGCAAAACTGAATTGTTGCCATGCATACCACTTTTGCAAGTCAAGCGACCTTAAGGTGAATCTTCAGCATTTTGTAGTAAGAAATTTTCCCACTGTGTTTTGATTCTCGTCCTCTGCGATTTTTGCAGAAAGAAACTTCTCCACTGTATCTTGATTTCGGTCTTCAGCGATTTGTAGTAAGAAATTTCCCCACTGTGTTCTGATTTTCGCGAACATACTGTTCAGAGTCTGTTCCGTTTCCTTTCTCTCCCGGAACTCGCATTTTTTAGTATTGAAACAACAACTTGTAGCCAACAATGACTACATTCCTCGCAGAATGTTTTTAATTTTACCTCAAACTCCAACAATCAAACAAGTTCCTTGATTTTTAATGTCTAACTTTTTTGAATCCTTTCATCTGTACCTCGAACTCAAACAATCATACTCCTAGACTGTCCTTGTATTTTTTATCATAAGCCTTGAAACCTCAACTGCTATTTTATTCAGAACCTTAACTAATACCAAATTTGGAATAAAAATTTTCTTTTAGCTGTCTTAAAGCTAATTAATTTCAGTTTGGATTTTTGGAAAAGTTTTGGATCAAATTCAATGTTATTTTTGGTCAGAGGAACCACTATACGTATCTTACTCTATGCTTCTAAGTTACTATAGTTTCTCAACGAATTTCGCAGTTCTGAAGAAAATCGCTTATTTAACGGAAGGGAAACTGAAAATAAAATAGAGGGCCTGAATCATCCTGCCTTATAAGCAAATGAATGCCTGCTTTCTACGCTCGAGCTGTATTGTCTAGTCCAGTCTATCAATTTTTAATCTATGCCTGTTGAAATCTCTTATCGATCTGTTGTACTTTGTTCATTCATCTATTTTTTCCTGTAAATATGCAATATTAAATCTAGGATTAAACAGCATAAAATTTACAAGCATAACCTTTCAAAAAAACGTGGTTCTCTATTTAAGCTTGTTTTTTCCATTACTTCATGAGTTTAGCATTAAGATGCCTTAAGTTAAGTTACGTACAAATGAAATATTGAATTTAAAAGGTGGATCCTCAATATTGAACGCTCAGATTTCTCACAAGATTGCCATGCCAACAAACTATTATCGACTGGCTCGCTCGATTGTCCATTAGAAGGTTTGTTTTTCAATTTTTCAATCCTTTCCAATGGAAGATAAGTAAAGATTGAATTTCGAACAAACATCGTCTCATTTGGAATCACGTTTGATGGTCTGAAAACAAATATATGCATGAAATTTGAAAATAAAATAGTCAGAAATTCATGTAGAAATATTTATTTTTTCTTCGATGTATAATAACTCTGAAGTATAGCAATAAGATTCACAATATTTTTGACCTCAACAAGTAAATATCTCACTTTGGTAGGTAATAATTTTACAATTGATGTTACATTGTGACAAACCTACAATTTACACAACTTCCTCAGTGATTGTTTATGTTTGCATAATTTTCACCGATGTATTTTTGAATCTTCTTGTAAAATTTGATTTCAAATATTGTTTCCTGGTCGAAAGAACATAACTACATTTCAACGTTGCAAAATTTAGACTGTATATTTTCATTGGAAAACTGTCGGGCATTCCTAACTGAGAATTTCATCAATTTTTCCTCTGATTACATGCAAAAATCAGCAAATTTTTTTACAGGGATTGCATAGTAATTCTTGCCAAAGATTAAATTGTTTGAACTGATTTTACAACCTTGAAATAAAGTTTTGTCTCTTCGGCCATCATCATTCGGAATAATCTCAAGTATGGGGGAGGACTTACAAATTTTTGGACTAACCATTGACCATAAATTTGCAATCCCACCTCAAACTTTACTCTGTATAAGATGCATTGCATTATGTATTTTTCTCTCATTACTAGAGTTCTTATTTTTATTTAAAGAAAACATAATTGAACGTGTTTTGTTCCTTCTATACCCTCTCATAAAAGCGAATGAATCAAAACGTGGTATGACGGAAGATTTAAGATGAAATTATTCATCCAAAGGACCAGCTCCACGATGGCAAATTAGATCCTTGTAAATGGGGAGTTGGGGACCCACCTTACTTTAAAGACATGAACCGATGCATACACTTGTGATAAAATATAGAGATGTATCATATATTTAGATATGTGATATACAAAGTATCTGTAGATATCATTGTATCATATGTATTTGAAATTTAATGTGGATGTGGTTAGCCTGCTCTGCGAGCTTTTAATTTTACTTACACAATCTGATGATGTTTTACTGAAATTTTCGTAGGTCCACTGAGGAACGGATCAAAAATAAGGAGAATAATTCAAGTACTAATTGACTAGTTCACTAGCGGTGTGAAACTGAACGAAGAAGAGCTAGATTTACCCCTCAATTTTCATTTGAGCTTTCTTGAATGAAATACATCATAAAAACTGTTACGGGTTCCTCTTTTGAATAACGCTCTTTTACTTTGATCATCTCAGGAATTGATTTTGAAGTCCTTTCTCAGTCCTTCATGTTTTAACTACTTTGGTTCGAGCCCTTTCATTCATTTTATTTCGAGTTGTAATCCAGCCGAAACTTTTGTCAGCTGAAACTATAAAGTGGAGATGAGAATTCATCCATTGGGTATTTATTTACTCATGCAGCAGTTCCTCATCCAACTTTATCATATTGTTTATTTTGTTCTTGGGTTACTATTTTTAGCTGGACTGTTCTCAAAATATTAGAATCTCCAGAGTTTATTCTCCTTAGAATCCTTAGAATGGTCATCTTGATGTGGTTATCCGTTTCTTAGTGTGGCCCACCCTCACATACAAGAACTTTCACGGTCATATGATCCAACATTTGCATACTTAATGTGTACCTATGTATAGTTTATAGTCTAAGTTCTGTTGTTTGTAAAATAAATTAAATATTGAAATTTAATATTGTTACGAGTGCATTAGAGATGTACATAATGATCTCATCACTCCAATATTTGGTGATATTTTTGTTGTACATAATCAGCTATGTTATTAAATCTTGTTGTTTTAAAGTTAAAAATGTGGAAGTACTTTTTTCTTCGAAAGTCAACTCATGTTTTTTCCTCATCTCTGAAAAGAAAACATTGTCACCTTCCAGCCAAAGTATCACAAGCGCCATGCGACGTTTAAAAATTTCCGCCGCCGTTTTATTTTTTTACAGAGATATTGTCGGTTGAATCTGTCTGAAAATCTTACTGAATTTTATCGGCAGCACAAAAAAAATTCAGTGAAATTTTCGATCAGCTTCGTTGAACAATTTCTCTGTGAAAAAATAAACAACGGCAGAAATTTTTTAACGTCCCTTGGCGCTTGTGATACTTTGGCCGGAAGGTGATGACATGAAGACTTGCACGGCTAACAGTTGAAACAACTTGTATGGGTGGATGCTGGGAGAATTTGGATCAGCACACCACTTGTCACCCACCCATATTAGATGTTTCCGAATTTACTTTTGCCGATGCACCGCCCCCTCTACATTTAATTTAACTGCCAGTGTTTACCTCTTCTTGAAGCTCTCATTTCATTGCCTTGTCTCCAGACTTGGAATAGTTTAAGGCCAATCTGTCATTGGCAGATACACCTTTTTGGCGCGTCAAAGATGCACCCCACTGACAGTAGCAAAATAAGAATAGAAAAATATTATGACCGAGAAAATATGCAGAAATTTCATAAATGAAAGGAAGATGAGAAAGTGTAGAGTTAAGGAAGGTGCTCGCATGATAGTGGTGAACTACAGGGCTATGCCCCCTGGCCGCTACGCAGCCCAACCCCCAGAGGACGCTTCGCGCACTCTTACGCCTGTGTCGACAAAAGAACGACCAAAAAAAACTGAAAATATTTTCATAGCCGACTCTCATTTATCAAACATTTCTCTGGCCAGGAGCAATTGGACCAATCAGAATCGAATGAAAAAATTGGCATTTATTTCAAACTTCATGCCAAGACTTACACGAAACGGAACGGAGCGTTTAGTCGCTTTTGGATAGCGTGTAGCAATAGTGCATACCTTCGATTCACTAACCCTACTAATAGACGAAGATTCAAAATTTCCCGCTAACTTCAATTTTCCGCTAAATTTGAAATTCCCGCTATCGTTCATCGGCGGGAATATCGGCTGGCCCCTTATTTTGGCTCCCTAGTGTTCAGGGGGCTTGCCCCCGGCTTCTGCTCCTTAGTGTTCAGGGGGCTGGCCCCCGGCTTCGGCCCCTTAGGGTTCAGGGGGCTGGCCCCCGGCTTCTGCTCTTTAGTGTTCAGGGGGCTGGCCCCCCGCTTTGGCTCCTTAGGGTTCAGGGGGCTTGCCCCCGGCTTCGGTTCCTTAGGGTTCAGGGGGCTGGCCCGCGGCTTCTGCTCTTTAGTGTTCAGGGGGCTGGCCCCCCGCTTTGGCTCCGTAGGGTTCAGGGGGCTGGCCCCCGGCTTCGGCTCCTTAGGGCTCAGGGGGCTGGCCCCCGGCTTCGGCTACTTAGGGTTCAGGGGGCTGGCCCCCGGCTTCTGGTCGTTAGGGTTCAGGGGGCTGGCCCTCGTCTTTGGCTCTTTAGTGTTCAGGGGGCTGGCCCCCTGCTTTGGCTCCTTAGTGTTCAGGGGGCTGGCCTCCGGAGTGTTGGGCCTTTTGGATGACTCTGCTTCGATTCATACCCCGTATCCTGAAGTCAATGATTCGCCTTCAAATGGCCGGGTATGCAAAATGACTGTCCTGATGCACGATTAGTGGTATCAGAATTTCGCGTTATAAGTTACACATTGATTTGAAGGCGATCTTCTGTGTCCATTGTGAGTGGCCTTGTACAACGATGTTGACCAAAAAGTTCCAAATTTGGGTTATTAAATCGAGCCTCATATTCGAAAAATGCCGAGGTATAATAATTTGAAAAAAGAATAAGATTGTTTTTGGTCTCTCCGTCTTATTTCATCTGTGTATTTCATGTCCCTTGATTCGGTCATCGTATTCTGAAGCGAAACTGAAAGAGTTGCCGTTTACAAGATCGTAACTTACTCAAAATCGGTTGTGAATTTAAAAAGTTTCGCAAGAATGAAATGAGCTTTCGTTGATTAACTGTGAATGATCGAATTTGAAGAAAAGGTACTTTGTCCACTGGTCCATCAGGCAAGCGTAAAGCATGGATGGTCTATGACCAACTAAATACCATACTGACCAACTGACCATAGCATCAATGACCAACTAAATCTTATCTGATACTTAAGGAATTTTAAGTGTGAAACCCTTTTTTCAGTCTTTAAATGATTTAAATCTACCAACAAATTTAAAACACTAATTGCAAAAATGCGTATCTCCTGATGAATCGTCGATTCTTAGTGCCAAAAACGCAAATCTCGGCATTTCTGCCGTATTTTCGAACAGTTCGAGAAAGTATTGAAACCGCTGATCGAGTTATAAGAAACATCTTATTCTTGCTATCCTCAAGAATTATTACCCTTCTACCGACAATAAAGAGGAATTCAGACAGTTTTTTTGCTCTCCTGGAAAATCGTGTTTTCCGAGAATTGCTTTTCTGCACTTTTTTCATCGATAATGTGCTTTAGTATTGTTCAATTAACATTTGCACTGGTAGGTAGTGATTGTGATTGTTTATTCAGTATTTTTTTTTCTCATTAATTTCTGCACAATCATTCTCAGGTACCTATATATGTTGCAGGCAATTGGCAATCGCCGGCAAGTTGCAATCTATTCGTGTTTAATCAACAAATTAAATCGTCGTAAAAGTGAAAAAACGAGATTGGAAGTAGGGATTATTATGCTTTGAATTCAAACATACGTTAGCCCCTTCTTCTCGGATTTATGGTGCCAGCTAGCATACCCGCGAGTTCGTGAAATGTCATCAATAATCTGTGTTAGGTTCGGTTAAGCAACTAAACTAACTCCTTGGCAATGCGGAGAGTATCGTTGGATTTGAAGGCGTAAAGAAATCTTTACTATATCGATGTTATCGTAATTACAATTTGACGAATTGACAAGTACGGAGCTTGCAAATTGCCGGCGATTGCTGATCCCCTACGACTTATACTCTGATAAAGATTTCACAGATATGTATTTCCATCTTTAAGTTTACATGTACTTTTCTCTCTTTTAATCAGCATGTATGTTTCTTTTTTGTTTCTGGTGCATCCCTCGGAATTCTTGGATTCAAAAATCGATGATATTCCTGGACATCGCAAATCGTCAATTAAAAAATTTGGATCGTTCAATTAAACGGGACACTTGATTCACTTAACTGAATCTTTATATTAACTGGAAACTCAAATTTACCACAAATCCCACTCAACCGAAAACCTGATCTAACCCTGAGCTGACCAAAACTTTACTCAACCGGTGATCTTACCCACTGGAAACTCAAATCAATCGACCAATCGTCCGGCCGATTTTTACTTTACCAGAAATTAACAACCGTAAACTCTACTCTACCGGAAACGTGCCCCAATCGAATACATGACCCAACTGGAAATTCGATCCAACCTGAAATCTGACCCATCCCAAAATTCCAATTCACTGGAACCGTAATCCATCCGTATATGACGTGACCGGAAATTAACCCGACTGGAAACTGTCTCCAACCGGTAACGTGTCCTTGTCGAAAATTTGACTCGACTGAAAATTTGATTCGATCGGAAATCCGACCGACTGCAAACTACAATCAACGGGATTCGTTATCCACCCGAAATTTCACTTGACCGGAAATCGAAAATGTCAATTTCTACTCGACCGGAAATGTGCCCCAATCGAAAACTTGACTCAACTGGATATCGACCCGACCGGAAATGTGTTCCAACCCAAAATTTGGTTGTTCTCGGATGGAGAATAACCAATTTCAATACCAATTTATCATTGATTTTCCTAAAAAATCGCAAAAATTCGATACAAGCGATTGATATATCGACTCGTGGACACATCAATTCAAGAAGAAAATAGCGAAAAATAAGGCCGGAGTTTGACCCCTTGCCCNCCCTTTGCCCCCCCGTAACTCTAAAACGGTTCCTGTACTCATCTTGAAATTTTTTCCTGAGTTTTCTGTTATTATAAGCTTCCACTTAAACCTTGGTTCGATGATCGAATTGAATACCGAAAAAGGGGCGAAATTTTGGGAGGCTCTTTAAAGCTAAATTCATTACTTAACAGAAGTACCTTCCGGTCGCCTTCTATTGCAGCTTATTCAGTGCCTCATCAAAATTTTTTCATCAGTGGGGCCACTGCTTGTTCGCTCTGTTCCAGAATGTCCATCACTGGTTGCACTAAAATACACTCTGCCCGAGGCACGCCGCTCATTTGCTTCTCTAAAATTTTGTGGATCACCGTCAGCCTACGCAACTGATTATTCATATAATTATCCTTACGCAGTAGCTGGGTTTTCTAGAACAAAAATGAGAGTTAGGTCATGCAGTGACGATTCTTTCAAATTGACAACGATGTTTTTCCTCCGTTAAAGTCATACATAATCAAGTGAAGCAGCAAATTTTATACATCGATCACTGAAGGCGAAAATAATGATTTTTTCCAATACCGAGACGATGCAAATCTCCTCTCATCTTCCATTTGGACATTTTACTAGGAGGGCCGCCCCCTGGCCGCCGCGCGCCCCCAAAGGCCACTTGGTCAGCGAAATCGTCAAAATCGCCCGTTGGCGGTTAGTAACACTGGAAAAAAAAAACACATTGGATCTAGAGTCCAGACTCTTGAAAACATTGACAAGAAAAAATACTCTTGATTCAATCAGATTTAAGCTTAAATCAAAAGGTAATCCGCTCAAATTAAGAGGCTAGGATCTTGGTTTAAGCGTAAATCTGATTGAATCAAGAGAACTTTTTCTTGTCAATGTTTTTAAGAGTCTGGACTCTAGATCCAATGTGGTTTTTTTTTCAGTAAAGCAAATAATTTTAATTGAATAACAAAACGATGTTTCAAAGAATTTCTCCGACACACAATATTCTTAACGACTTCCTCCTTACTCTGAATTTTGATTCCTTCCTTGCAATTCGACCTTTGGACCTTCTTACTCTCCTTCCTCACCCCGTCCATCGAGCGTAAAAATGATTTTGTTAGAGTTGAAAGGATTTTTTTTAAATTTATCATTGTAATTTTTTTTTTTTTTTTTTTGAGAGAGATAGAAAAAAGTGACCAACTGCATGTGTTTCTCAAAATTTTACTCAAACTGTCCTATTACTTATTCAAACATATGTACAGAGAATTTCAAGAAGAAATTTCGTCGAACCGTATAAACATATCTACGCCTCGCATATTTTTTTAGCCCTCCGTTTTCCTCTTTGTGCTATCGACAGTGAAACTTCCAAGCCACGTATCTCAATTTGAAACTATGCAGGCGTCCCGTTGTACACTCTTTTTTAATTGGAAAACACTCAACGACAATTCTTAAAGACGCGTGATTTTCCCTCGTTGTGCAAGGACAATATTTTGTGGAAACTTCTAAGAATTATGATGATTTCTCCTCCTTCCAAAAAATCAAATAGGAGCGGATATTCTAAAACACCGCAAACGAAATACGTAGTTTGGGAGTTTCGCCGTCGATTTCCAAGGCGAGTCGTGCTTCGCGATGCATCGATTGATCTGCCATTTAAACCTATGGATAAGGATCGATTAGGATGTTCGCTGCGAACACCCACGATCAATAATAATCGATTCTTTACCATAGGTTTAAATGGCAGAACAATCGATACATCGCAATTCACGCCACGCCACTTGTCGATTTGTCCATAACTCGAGGGCTTACAAAGTCTTGAGTTTCGTTTCCAGAGTCAAAATCGATTCAAACTATTTTTTAAGACACCTGCAAATTCTCTAGTGGCTCCAGGGCCGGATTAAGGGGGTGGCCACATGGGCCGCGGCCCATGGCGGCAAAATTAGGGAGCGGCAAATTTTGCAATTTTTTTAAATGCAGGTACAAAAAAATCAGATTCAGAAAAAAAAAAGGTGACAAAATCTCTCATTTCCTGAGAGTTCATTAATTTCTAATTTTGTCGTATTTCGGTGATACAAAAGACTGCGCACCTTTAATTAGTTGAGTTAAGAGAGAAACCAAACACGTAATTTAGCCTGGAGCGGCGCGGCGCAAAGAGAAATGATGACGAGGAATTGAGATGAAAAGGAGAAGCTCTCGACGCGGCGGTCGGCATGTAACACATATTAGCGCCTACGAGACTGCATGAATACTTCACGCATTGCGTCAAACACAGTACGGTCAACAGCGGTCGGCGCGGCATGAAACGCACAGTGCCTACAAGACTACATGAATACTTCACGCATTGCGCCAAACACAGTGTGGTCAGCGCGGCACGGCGGCGGAAGTTAAAATTATTAAACCACGTTTATGTTTGTCCTTTCTTAATTTTTTAGTTCATTTCTTACAAATGAAAGGCCTTGTCCCCACAGAGATAGGTTTACGGAACTGAACTTTCGCGCAAAGTTCCGTGAGCTTTTGCTAGTATAGTGTTGACAGGGCTCACGCAAAAAATGTGTCCAACACGAGTGAACGCGTCTCATGCACCCTTCTCCCTCCGGCACGTTCACTTGATGGTTTTTATTGATGTGTCAAAATGAATGAGAAGAGGGCGGCAAAATACAGGCGGCCCATGGGCGTCAAGTAGGTAAATCCGGCCATGATTGGCTCAACAGTATAGTTGATCTAGCATTGTTCTCGTTATAGGTACACATATGAATCGACGTTGTTCTTACCGCAATCGCATCTTCTTTTTCTTTTGGTGTTGATTTGTCCTTTTTAAAATTGAACAAGACCCTACCAGCATCAAAGAAACGCCGCATGTTCACAAGCACGTCACTCGCTTCTCCGATGACCCGTAAAAATTTCACTGTCATCTCGCTTTTTCGGTCCGCGGCTAGCTGTGTTGCATTGTGCACGACGGCTATTCGTTTGGTTTCTATGACCCCAAACGCATCTAATAATTCATCGAAACTTCTGCCCTCTAGTGGTGGGGTAGGAGTGGGCTGCAACAAAAAATTAAGCAGTAAATAAATTTAGTTCTACCATTAGGCGATTTAAAAAGCCAGTCGGTTCTGGCTATCATTTCATCACGCACTGAAATCTATGTCACTATCTGCCCCGTTTTCTCAGGTTCTACTGAATGGATTCATAAAAACTTTTTTGTCAGACAGGTCTAAACGTGTCCTTTGACATGTAATTATGTCGATTTCCCTAAAAAATAAAATGTTGCGACATTTTTGAAATTTTCATTTTATTTTTAATGATTTTTTCACTTCCAAGTCTTCTAAAAACTATATTTAACAACATATCAGAACACTCATATGTCAATTGAAAGAGGAAATTTAGAGCTGTCTAACAAAAAAAGTTTTTGAAAATCCGATCAGTGGATCCTGAGATAAAGGGGCAAAAATGTTCAAAAACTAAACTCTTCAGTATCGCAAAGAGAAGAAGAAGATACGATCTATTTTGACCTGACCTTGCTTGAGAAAAACAGCTGTAACTCCTCCAATAATCACTGGAATTTGAAAAACTAAAGCTTAAAATGATCCTGAGCATGTGTGTAAGTAATTTATTAGGATAAAAAGTAGAATATCGAATTTTTGAAAAAAAGAAAAAAAATTCAGAACCGACTGCCCTTACACCTGTTGAGTAAGTCAGCGGCGGTTCCTGACTAAAAATGTAGAGGTGTTTACTCAAAGAGAAGTTTCGAGTTAATGCAGTAATGCTTCTCTCTAATTCGCCTTCAGTTTTCGAGGTAGGTCAGACAACGACCTTCGTGTGGCATTAGTTGCCTACTCGATGGCTTGTTACTTATATTGTCTGAGAATTTTGCCTCGTGGTGAACTGTGTGGAGTTCTGTCCGACAGATATGATGCCAGCTCCATTTTTCGATTCATATCTCTATTATAAAAAAATGTGTAAGGTATGGAAACAATAATTTACTCCAAAATGTCTGCAGGGATGCAGCACTTCCAGTGGCCAGAGTCCAGAAAGTATGCAAAAAAAAAAATCTCTGGAGCGGGTTTTAGTGTTGTAGTTTTATTTTGAGTGATACATAAAGGTGAAAATATTAATTATTCAATAATTTTGACATTTTTATACATTTCCTGAGCAAGCCATAAAAATGGAGGGACTGCCCTGGAGAAAAATTACTATCTATTTTTTGAACATGAATAATTATCTGAAAACTGTGCACATCTTTATACGCTCAAACCTCCTGAAATATTGAAAAGGCACTCATGACTAATGCGGCCTCCAAAGTATTTTTTTTTCGTAAAGTAATCGTATCTTTATTAAACGTCCAAAAACTTTCAAACTTGTAAACTTTCTCGGTAAATTTATACTATTGGAAAAAAAAAGGAATCACTCGCCTTCATATGAATATTATACTCACTGGGGCTTCAATAAAAGCTAGGACTGTGGCGAAAGAGCACAACAAGGTTAGACTCATATTTAGGTTAACAAAATCTCAGAATGCATCGGGAAATGACTGTGGTCGAATGTGCTCCAATCTGATTAAAGACGGTCCGAATACGGTGCACAGAGAAGAGAAGTAGATGCCACATTATATCAACATAGTAATACCAAAGTCATGTTTAATTTTGAAGGGGGCTGACCAAGTGACCGACGCGACGCACTGTGGATCGAATCAATAGGAGAGATCGGAACTTTCCCGTGAATTTAATTATAATCGTTCGTAAAATTATTGTTAATTTTTCAGAGAATCTGTGCGTATCTTTTAAAAAATATTGATCGAAAATGACGCATCAAATGTGGTTTGCAACGTTGCGATCGAGGTAAATAAGCTCCATTTCGCGTGGAATGAACCATCGATATTTGAGTTCGTTCACGGCAGGCGTAACATACAACTATTTGACCACGGGTGTACAACGCTTATAGGAATGAACAATTCGAAAAATTTATTAAAAATCTAAGCGCTAGTGAGACAAACGACTACTCACTATGGAAAGCAACAAAAGGCTTAAAACGTCCCTTCCAAGCTAGTTTTCCGATTAAAATGGATAATGGCGATTGGGCTACTAGCAGCCAAGATAAGGCGCATACCATCGCTGCCCATTTGGAATCTGTTTTCCAGCCCAATCCAAGTTCAAGCCCTGAAAAAGAAAGAGAACTAGAAGCTGAAGTAGAGAATTTAGAATTTCTTCCAGACGAAAAAATCAAAAAAATTACTTACGAGGATGTTTTTAACGAAATTAAATACAAAACAAAAATTAAAAAAAGCCCAGGATATGACTTGATATCAGCAGTAGTTTTAAAACAACTTCCCCCGGCCGCTTTAAAAAAATTAACAGCTATTTTTAATGCTGTAATTAAGTTAAAATACATACCTCTGCAATGGAAAAAAGCGGAAGTTATTGTAATCCTCAAATCGGGCAAACCTGCTTCAGCTCCTAGCTCCTACAGACCTATTTCCCTCCTTCCGCTAATCTGCAAACTCTTCGAAAAATTGTATATAAAGAGAATTTTTAGTATAGTTAGAAAGAAAAATCTACTCCCAGACGAACAGTTTGGTTTTAGGCCTGGGCACAGTACGATTGAACAATTACACAGAATATCCGCCTATATTGAAAAAGCGTTAGAAGAAAAACAATACTGCAATGTCGTGTTTCTGGATGTCGCCCAGGCTTTCGATAGGGTGTGGCATCAGAAACTGGCATTTAAACTTTCCAAAATACTACCGGGCAACCATGTTCAGCTGCTGATGTCATACATCTCTGACCGTTTCTTTCGGGTTCGCTTCGAGGATTCTTACTCAGATTTTAAAAAGATTAGAGCAGGAGTACCGCAGGGGTCGGTACTCTCCCCCCTTCTTTATAGCCTTTTTACGGCCAATATTCCAAAGCCCAAAAAGGGCAAATTGGGTATTTTCGCTGACGATACAGCCGTAGCGTCTTCAGCTTCCACATATGATGAAACGGTCAGAAATCTGCAAGAAAGCCTGGACGACATCCAGGAATGGACAGATAACGATCGTACTGTGCTCAACGCCACTAAATCGGTCAACGTGGTATTTACTTTACGCCCCTACGTTCACACACCTCTGATCCTAAAGAATACTGCTATCCCCCATTCTTCAAAGGCTACTTATCTTGGCCTTATCATGGATAGTAAATTATCATGGAAAGAACATATCCTAACTAAACGTAAGCAAATCGAACTTAAGCATAGAAAAATGTTATGGCTTCTAGGTAAGCGCTCAAAATTAAAATTAAATAATAAAATTCTCCTATATAAATCCATGATAAGGCCAATCTGGGCATACGGCAGCCAGATGTGGGCCTGCGCAGCAAACTCTAACCTAAACCAAATTGAGATAACACAAAATAAAATCTTGCGCCAAATGACCGGGGCCAGATGGTACGAGCGTAACGCCGATATTAGAGGCGAGCTCGGGATAGAATCCATGGAAGTCTATATCTCTAGACTTTACTTGAACTATGAGGATCGGCTGGGTAGACACTCCAATCCGGAAGCGATATCGCTCTTAGATTGGTCTGCTGCCCCGCGACGCTTAAAAAGACGTAAAACGTTTGAGCTGAGCTCGCCCCTTTTCCGCCGGTGTTAGGCTCTTGCCTCTGACCCCTGATGGCCTATGTCGGCTGAAGGGGTACACGCTTGCTAAAGGCAAAAGTTCTCACGTTACCCGTGAGGCTTGACATAGCTAAACTTAGTTATTTTCCTGCTTTTCTTATCATTCTTAAACTTCAGTAATCTACCGTACTTACCTTTCAATAATTTTCGTAACCTAGTAATTTCATTTT